GCCTAACTTTAAGTTTATTGACTTTATGTTATGGGACTCTTGAAGGGCTGAATATTTAAGTGAAAATAAAACGAAATATTGATGGATAACATTATTTTTGTTGCATGTAACCCAATTTGTTATCATATCTTCTTTAATTCTAGAGGCTGTGAGAAAGGTGACCGCGCACCACCTCGCCCATTTCGAGGCACCACTTATTCCTGGTAGCATTAGGAACAGGCTTGTAGGATGTAGCCTGTGTTCCAGACCCCCAAAGTTTTGTTTTTACCACATGCCTATAGTTTCGCATCACTTTTAAAGTTATTGCTTCTAAAGGATAGAGTCAATGGAAGCATTCATATTGGAGTGGCATACGTAGGGAGGGACACCACGTTTCCGATAAAGGGCACTTTTTCCAAATCGAAAGAGGACACAGGTTGTACATTTCGTTCACTTAAACAGCAAAGGGCAGTCAAATGTAGGAGACGCCTACATAAGTGGGAGAAAAAGGGAGGAATCGTCACAATATTTGGTCCCTTTCAATGCCGTGAATTCCACTCAAAGTTTAATAAAGTAGAAATTGCAACGTTTCTTGGAAAAAAGCTGATTTTGGAGCTATTGTAAACAGGTACGGCACCAGCTCCAAAATGGTGGGGTGGACAATGAAGGGGTGGAGCGTGCAACACCGTACGATAAATCGCGCTCGTTATTGATAACCAAATTTGACATATTTTGAAACCCTCAATTTAGATTTATCCAATAAATTTCAAGGTTTACATACGTAAAAGCTAGTAACATAAAAGTTAATTTCAGAGTGGTATTTTTTAGCTAGCAATGGTTTTAAACTTATATCGAGGCTTCCTTTGTCATTTTTACCTGCCATATCGATGCTAACTTGAACAAGGTTTTCCAACCATTCGTCTGACATTGAGGCTAAAAGGTGATGCAACTGTAACAGGTGGGGCTGCAACTATACTGTCCGTACAGCTTAAAATAATTGTGGGTACATGTTTCAAAGTTAATCATTGCCAAGAACCTTTACAAAGGAAGGAAGGCCAAGATCACACGCTAAGAACCAACTGTTTAGCACGATAAAGCTGTGTGGTAGATCATCTTCATTCTAGTTTCTCACTATTTACGGAACTGATGATCCAACACACCATATTCTATGACAGCTAAGATCTGAAAAGAACCTTCTGACCTTCAAAATGAAAAAAGTACCAATCTCAGAGAAGAAAACTAACACCCCCTTATGTTTTTAATCCAGTTTTGGAAAGATTAGAAAGTCGACCTTGAAGAGTGGGGTGGACATTTCCACCCCGTAGCGCCGCCCTTGATTGTAACCCTTTTGGGATCTGCTCTCAGACACCAATGTCCTGTTTAAAACCCAATGAGTAATTTGATAAATACTATTGTTAAAAATTTGACTCAAAAGTTTTTGAGTAGAATCGAAAAGGTACCCTTATACAGGAACCCAACACAATAAATTGTGTTGAAACGTTTACAGCTTGTTTGTTCATTATCCGTTCCGAAGAGTCAGTTTATAAACTCGCATGTAACAATAACATTTTCCCGTCGATTTAGCAAATCCTAGCGATTGAAGGTTGATCTGATTCATAGTTTGCACACTGCGTTTGAAGCTGATAAGGCTAAATACAGCCTGGTCAATTTGAACAACAAAAAATATCCTTGATTTTTATCATAAAGAAGGAACACAACATCTCAAGAAAAACAGCTGGTTGTAAGCAGGTACGGAGGGCATACAGGCGTTTTCAACAAACAAAAATGATATATCTTAATCGATATGTCATTACAACTCAGGGATGCCAGATTGCCCTTTATCAACCAAATTTTCCAATTTTGCCCCTTTTCAGAGTGAATTAGCCCGGAAAATTTGTTTTTGGCCTACTACTTAAATCTGGCCTTATCAAACATTACGAGGTCGTTCCTTTGTTTGATATAAACTTTGATAGTTATAAACAAGACAAACAAATTATGAATTGGAGGAACAATACTGCACGGTGTAAACTAAATTATTATCTGCTAACCTAGCGATTGGCAAAGTAATTTTTTTGAAGGAGAAAACTTTTCAATTTCTTGCTTGAGCTTGGAAAATATCTAAAAGGCTCAGGCATGGAAACATATACTTCATTTTGCGCTGTGTATTTTTAGGCAATTTGTTAATTTGGCCTTGTTATTTGCATTTAGGCCTAAGTTTGTCCGACCCGTCTGGCAACCCTGCTACAACCTTGAAATTTTTAACCAACTACTGAAACTCTGACACTTTTCAACAGGGTTTGGCAGCATCCAATGAACAGAGTTTTGTGAGAACAAGATTGATTTGAAAATTGAAAGGACACAAAAAGCTGATTACAAGGATAGGTCCCTCGATGCTAAATGGCTCATTTTGGTTTTTTGAATGATATTGGGGGAAGTAGTTTTCATTTTGTCTCAGAGATCCCCATTCTTTTATAACCAATGGAATTTAAGTAACCAATTAAGACATGTTTTGAATCGGTTTTGTTGTTGAAGCCTCCACCACAAAAACAGAAAAGGCCATGTAGATGTACGAAATGCCATAAGGAGTGGTCAGGAGAAATGCCTCTCTATTCGGAGCCTTGCAAACAAAATATGGTACCTGCACACAAGAGGTTTTACCTGAGCTAATGATGAACTAAAACGAGATATCGGTACAACCTTTCGCTAGGGTGGAACGGATGCGGCATTCAGCAAAGATAATGTTTTATAACACTTATCTCAGAGAAGGTATATTCAAGACAAAATATTGATTCTTTATCAAACTTCTTCCTGCTTAAATTCGATAAAATATTGATTAGAACCATGAATAGTCAACGTAACACATAAAAATCGAAAACTTGAAGGAAAGCTGGGAATATAAATGATAATTAAATGAATTTAATCAGAGTTTATTTCATGAGGGGCTTTTGAGCTTTAACTAATTTGCTTCAGATTGTTACTATTTCCAATTCGTTATGGTCTATTTTGCCACGCTCTCTCGCTTATTTTCTACCTGCTCGACTAGTTCATGGGCAAGGCGGGGTCAGCCTCCAGAGGATTTGATTTGTAAAACTTGAGTAAGATGTGTGTTTCGTGGCTTTTTCTATTCCCTTGGTTAATCTAGGGGTTTTGCAGGTTTTAGCATAGCCTGGGTCACTCCTTGCTTGGTGAAGACTCATTACAGTTAGGCTGTTTTATTTTTCCACCCTCCATTATTTTGTTTCTTTATGGAAATGCCTTTTCAGTATAGCTTTGCGAGTGAGTTTCTTTTACACGGCATCGGTAAAACCTCTCGTACCTTTAGGCATCTTTTTGTTGCTTAGCGTTTTTTTATGCCATACGGTAGGACTGGTGCATCGGCTATTAGTGGGGAAAAGGCATTTCCTGTCCATTCTCTCCCAGTTATCAATCAGATTTGGGAATTATTGTAACCCCTTTCTGTTACAATTACAAAAACTGTTACAAAATTTTCCCCAGTAACCCCTTTCTGTTAAAGATTTATGGTAAATTGAGCGATCTGCGCCGATGCACAGACAGTCCAACTCGCTCTCGATGTGACAACGTAGCATCATGACTGACTTTCTAATGTTTATGGCAGTTTTTCTGAAGGAAGCTTTATGCTCTTTATTTTGTATTGGTATTTAATTTCCGAGTCAGTAAATTAAATGATCTTTCACATCAATTTAGGTTTGAGCTTCTTACATAATAGACAAGTTGCAGGAAAACAGGAAAGTTCACAAGTTCTATTTGGCAGAAAACACTGAAACAAATAAGCAAGATTTTCCCCATTTTTTTTAATTACTATAAGCGCGCGCATGGGAGGACCATAAAATACAGTGGATGGGGTCTACGATAGCAATACAAAATACTAATTGATAATTACTATGCATCAACAATATTAACCGAGTAAAATTCAATAGGAATGGTAAAATAAAAGTCCAGCAAACTTCTTACACAAAACATACTGGTCCGACTTCTAGACCGAAGCTGGATTCCTTGCCAACAGCATCAGCAGGGGCGAAGTCTTTAATTGGAAGGTTGATGAATTTTCTTGCCTCAAATCTGAAGACAGATTTCATCCATTGGTTTTCCCTGGTTTGGCAACCATCTACGATCTTTCGTGGCTGGAATCTAACTGGCTCCTTGATACCAAAGTCCTTATTCTGCATTCCTGTTAAGATTAGAAGAGGGGCATAAGCAAGGTGATTCTCTAAGCTTAAATATTCCAGAAAGGACGGCGTTCCAGCAGCTGGAACTGTAAGAAAGTTCTTTGAAATAATTCATGTACATATACTGCATTTTAATTATGTCATTAACTTTGCATATTTGCACATCGTTTTAAGGGTTTTCTTTTTAACCATTTTAGCAGTGTTATGAACTGGGATGAATGGGGAGCTAAAAAAGGTTCTCCAACATCCATTGGGATAGTGAGCAATTAAAAGTAGCGGAGCACGAAAACACAAAACGCACCCTTGAATTTGAGAGATTTGTCGTGGTTGGCATTGCTTCTGTCGAACCACGCAACTGAGTTCTTGCAGTGATAAGTGACCTCTTGGTATGCAGCCTTGCTCAGATGACCAAGGTAGTCCAACTGCGAATCGTCAGCTTTGTATTCAATCTGCGGATGAAAACCAGGATATGTTGAAAATAATCTATCGATTTAATATGTATTTAAAAAAGCTCTTATCAGCTGCTATATTTTGAGATGCTTTTTACCCACTTCCTAATGCTATCAACAGTTTTCTGTTCCCGAGTTTCTTTGCATTTTCAAGGTGACTTTAAAAACAAAAGCAGTTTGCTAGGTTTTCTTACCTTTCCAAGCTCAAGATCTTCTCCGAACCATTTCTGTGCACTGGTTCTGATCTTCTTAGCCCAAGGAGCTTTCTGGACGGCCTGAAGCAGCAAGATAGTTTTAATGTAGAAGTGTATGCTGTACAAAGAATTCAATGTTCTGAAGCATGTATGATAACGAGCACGACTGCATTGATGCATTTATTAAGTCAGTTGAAAAGAGCAACAACACACGATAATCAACATCAATTTTATGAAAAAGAATAAAGAGATTTTATTATCTCACCATTCCACCAGCTGGTGAAACACATGTGGCGATTTCGGTTTCTGTGATGTTGCAGTAGACTCTGATTGCGTCGCTCTTGCAACCCATGTTGGGATCCACCCAGTAGTATCCTGTGCGGGATAATGGTTTTGATTTAACAACTGATAGTGAGATTCACATTGTTTCCAAGTCTCAAAACATTTTTACTTCGTTTGTTCGGCATTTTCAAAATTAGAAATTAAAGCATGCATAAATGGTTCTGCCGAATAATGCGACTGCTCATGAGCAAGAACAGCCTTTTGGTGTAAGGATAAAATGGGCCTAAAGAGGAGTTATTTATGAAAAGTAAAAATTTGGCCAAAAGTCTAATTGTCCAATATTGATAGGATATTCTCTCTATGGCATTAACTTTGCAACGTTGTAGCTGTGGTTTTCATATTTGGACAGCAGTTAAAGTAGTTGCAAACTTGGTAAATCAATCACTCGAAGCTTGCAATGGCGTAAGGGAAATCAGATTAAAGATGCCACGTTACTGTTGTGCTTGATATCAGGGCAGAAATCATAAAGGTAGCTAAAAAAACTAAGCTAGTTAAACATCATACCGCTCTTGGATGTGGGATGGAAGGCAAAGAGGTCTCTGCAAGTTCTGGCTGGGTATTCCATTGATCCGTCGGGTTTCTCGACTTTTTCGACCAACTGTTGGATCTTTGCCAATTTGCCGACAAACTTGTTATTCAGCTTATCTAATATCTCTGGGGTGGGCTTGCTCTTCTTGTCGCTTGAATAGTATCTGTAGAATTGGAGGAAGGGGTTTCTGACGGGTAGACCTTCTCGGTCTCCTTCTCCCTCTCCTTCCTCGCCTTCGCCCTCGTAAGGTCCTTTAAGATTACCTTCTCCAATATGACCGCCAGCCCATGGAGCCTAAAAAAAATCAAAATTCATTTGAATTTTCGAAATCAAAAGATCGAAAAGTACTTTATGACATAGTTGAAACAAAAATATCAATATTTGAGCGTTGATCACTTCGACATATTTCTTTTCTCAACAATCACACTAAGAATTCTGCAGAAGTATAAGAAAAACTATACTGTAGGTTTATCCCGAAAACCAGGAATTACAATAAAGGAAAACGAAAGAAAAAAATCTATATATGCAGACGTACAAAAAACTGACAGCAAGCAATAATGGATAAAAAATAAAATTGGGCAAATAATCTTGACCAAGTACTAGGGCAAAGGGCACCAACCCTGCAGATCTGGCAGATTTCATTAGAAATTCGGAGGATATACTCTACTGCTGGAAATTCTGTTTCAAAGAACGACCCTGGACAAATAAAATGAGACACATCCCAGCACAGCAAAAGTTTTGATTCCTCTACTGCCAAATGGGAATATGTCCTAACTTTTTAAACCAAAATATTTAAGAAGTAAAAGGTCCTTGCTTACCTGGAAGCTAGCACCTGGTTGTCCCTAAAACAAATTAAAAAATGATTAAGCATTGAGAGATGTTATGGAAAAGGCCTTGAATAAACTAATAACGATGTCACTAGTCGAAGGCCTAAAACAACAACCTTAGGAACCTTGACTCTAATGAGTCCTTGAGAGCTGAGTCTATGCTCTTTGCAGTAAACTCAATAATACCTTAATACTACTACAATACTACTACGCAACTATATATGATTGCCAATAACAACTGCTTTCAACGTGTCAATGAATCAACAAATGAGAATAATAATCATTTTAATAACAAATCACTTTTGCTGCCCGAAGTTCATTGGCTGGCATTGACATAGTAGCAAGGACAGTACAAAAATTCACAGAATAAATCACAAATAGTTGGAACGATGATTTCCTTTGTTGCAGAATAACATATCAACTAAGTCATATATAACTCAGAGGAGCGAAGCTTGTCGAGCTTGTCAACTTCGACACACGCTAGGACCAATGTTTACTAAAATAATTGTTTAATTATTTAAAAAGCAAGTGAGTTCTTGTATATACCAGCATAGAAATGTACTTACTGGAGTTCCTGGTGGTCCTGGTGGTCCCTGATAAAATGAAAGCAAAACAGATGTAAGCAACGAAATGAAAACCATAAATTGCATACTAGATACGCAGTAAAACAAAGCGCAAAAGCAATTCAAACGACATGTTGCCTGGCGTTCAACAGCCAACTACCAAAAAAAGTTCTCAGCGATTGAAGTTTAATTGAACAGCGTCCCTATCTACCGTGTACGTACTTCTGCATGTTTGAAGGTAGCATTGAAAATACAGCATACTTAAGTACTTTTCAAACGACTCTCCTCAGAGTATTAACGTTTAATGTAAGCAGACCGTTATATTTGTTAGCTAAATTGTCTGGGATACCAGAGGCATATTTGGCGATTTTTGTGTGTATGCCAAGATTTTCTTTAGTGTAATAGCCACATAGAAACCTCAGGTGCAGGTCTTAACGCAAAGACTGTAGTTAGAGCAGAAATGGAAAAATTGCTGTAGCTGTTCCTATCAAGGCTTGGATGCAACGGCCTGTGGCCTAATGCACTCCCTTTACATACATAGATCGTCACAAAATTCATTCGGGCGAGGTTGAGCCACTTTACAAAATTATAAGTTCAAATATTTGCAGATCGGCAAATGAAAAGAAACCTTCCAAAAGACACAATTGCCTAGATAAATTAAGATTGCAAAGCCATGGCAACTAACTCAAAAAGAAGGATCGTGGATAGTAACAACTTCAAAAATAAACTTACACTTTGTCCATCTTTGCCCTGAAAGATAAATTGGATTATGAATGAGAAAAATCGTTTTATAGAAAATTACCATAGAAAAAAGAGAGCAAGCCAGAGGCGAATAGGTTTTTAACAAGTTGTTTCACATATCAGCAAAATTGGTCAACGCTGACAAATTCGATTAAAGGTTTTAAACATTCACAAGTAATAAAAAGGTGTAAAATTGTTGAAAGGTTTAAAAACAATCAAAGAAAAGAATAATCAAAAGTTGGCAAATTGACCATTGCTTTTAGGAATTGATGACCCTATAAAATGTAATATCTTTGGTTTATAGACAATCAATAGAACATAAGGTATTGTTAAATAAAAAAGTACTTACTGGGTAGCCTTTTGGGCCCTGTAAAGAAGATAATGAAAACAATTATTATTATTGCATATCTTAACTTTTAAATATCGGTGCAAGATGATATACAAAAAATTGACATAAGTTTACGTGGAAAATCCTATGAAAATTAAATGGAGCTTCTTACTTTTTTTGAAGAAGAAGTGTCTTTCAGCAAAAGCACGCTAATGATACAAATGAACAAGATAGCTTTCAAATATCTTGCACCTTCCCTATTCGTTTTATTTCCTTTAATGACGCCTTATTGCACTCAAGTTAAGTAGTTACTACTTATCAAAGTGAAAAACATATGACAAAAGACTTACCCTAGGTCCTCGAACACCCTTTTGTCCTGGAGCTCCCTAGAAGACAAAAAAGGTTTAGAAGCAATAGAGAAAAAATTAGCCTTGAATCATTCTTAGTTCTTAATTCAGCCTTAAACAAAGGGAATGCATTTTGCAGTTTTTAAAGCTTACGCGGAATATGAAGAACTTCAACAGAAGGAAAATATCTCCAAAAGGCAAACTGTAATTGGCAAAAAATACATAAAACGATATTTAACTAAAAGAAAGCACTTTAAACAATAAAAGACCTTAGATATAATACCAAGCAGGACAAAGATTACTTACCATTGGTCCTGGGATACCGTTTTGACCACGTGGGCCTGGTTCTCCATCTGGACCCTAGATATGGAAACAATTTACAACTGAAATACTGAAGTTTGTTGGGAATTATTGATGCGAGCAGCGATTGCAAAAAAATTCTGAATTTTCATAATAGATGGTACAGAATAGTTAAGAAGGGCAGAATTTAGAATGAAACACAAAAATCTTTAAATAGCTAAAATGCATAAAGACTTCACGAGCAATAAATAGTTCAAATCTACGTAATTCAGAGTGAAACAAATATGAGAGATCAAGATAATTTTGATGTCAACAGTGGTGATGACCCGAAAACTTTTTCGGATGAAAGAAAGAGAGCAATGTCAAATTGGATTGGGATGGCATTCGGTTGGAAGAGGCCCGCAAACTTGAGCAGCGCCGAGCTATGTTCAGATGTGCTGTTAGTAGAAGGTGACGTAGAATTGCAATTTATTGCTCAGGCTCAAATGTATAATATGGATTTTCAGAAATATAACAATAATCAATAAATTGGCTCAAGAAATAATACATTAGCAACATCAAGCAATTGGCTACAGGAAGATTTAGACAAAGACACTAAAGCATAGAAACTGAAGCACAGAAAGTTAAACGCAGACATAGAAGCATAGAAATTAACAGACGAAGGATAACAACAAAAATTAAATGCTGAAAGAGAGCTTACGGGTCCTGGCCTGTCTCCTGGCTTTCCTTTGAATCCTTGGATTCCACGAGAGCCCTTAAATCAAAATTACAAATTTAAAGAAAGCGACTATGATATCTACTTAAAAATATATGCTTACATTTCAAGTTTTGTACAAATATTTGAACAGATTTTTGAAAAGATTTGAATAAAGAAAGGATCAACCAATGCTTTTCTCGTGAGAGGAACTTTTTGAAAAACCATGGAAATGCAACTTGAAGTAGAGTGAATCCAACAATACCTTTGGTCCTTTGATTCCCTTCTCTCCCTTGAAACCCATGTAGCCAATATCTCCCTAAAAATGAATAACGAGTTTAATATTTTCGCAAAAATCGGCCAGAGATTATCAAGTTTCAGCAGTGATGTCAAAAATGAAAAGAAATCTTGTGCCCAAAATACACAAATGCACATTTTGTTACGAAATATTCCCAAATGAATTCAGCTACCTTGGCTCCAGCTGGTCCATCATCTCCTCTTTCTCCTGGTTCACCACGCTCTCCCTTAAAAATGATTAAATGCATTAATAAAAAGACCAATACTAAAATGTAGCCGTGAACAAGCTAGTATTATGTACAGTTTATTTTCTATCAGCTTCGGAACAGTCCTCTAGCTTTTGTTTGAAAACAAATTAGTATTTCGTTACAAAGTAATGGCCAACGCCTGAAAGCCATGTTCTTTCTACCATTTATAGTCTTATTTTTCTGAAAAAAAATAGCCTATCGCTCGTGACGTAAGCAACAGCTTGGTAAAAAATGTTTAAAGCAGCATGGTAGATTAGTTCTTACAGCGACTCCGTAGGTTCCTTTTGGTCCTTGGGCTCCATTCTCTCCCGATTTTCCCTAAAAAACAAGTAAGTTCATATGTGAAAAGATTATTAGGGTAGTTCATGAGCACTGGCACTGCAGCTTAAGAGATACTTCACTTTACGCTAACCGCACAGTAAGGAATGATACACAATATTCTATAGGTCATCTGGCAAGCACATCGTTGATTGTAAAAGCAACAGCACTGGGAAAAGTTTAGATGCCTTCCACGATTTCTAGTTATTGAATGAAATATATAGAAGCACAAAAGAACGTAATGAGGCTTGTTAGGCTCTCTGCTTGATTCTACGAATGTTTTTCAATGAAACAACTATTAGATATAAACTCGAAAACAGTATACAGCAGCTCGTATTGGGCATCACTAACATCTTATCGCAACAACAAGAGTAGCTTTATACAGTTTTACTACAGGTGCACTGAGCCTAAACGCATACCTGATCTCCTTTCTTTCCTTGTTTACCCTGTGGTCCTGGAGCTCCTGGTGCTCCTGGCTTTCCAGAGACACCTTTGCTTCCAGCGGGGCCTTGAGGTCCTTGTGATCCCTTAGGGAGGAATAGAGTATAACTTGTGAGAAAAGGTTATTTCATTCTCCCTGAACATATTATAAATCACGACAATAGCTTAACAACGAATACGAAATCAGAAGCTTCAGGTTTCGACAAAATTTTCGTGATATGAATATTATGAGATAATGCATATGTGATAATGAATATTATCCAAAGCCTCTGTTGGGGCAATGTTGCCTCAACGTTTTCAAAAAAGGAATATATACACATTAGGATCACCATAGAAAGATTGGAACATCGCCGACTCAAGACTAAGAAAGAAAGACACAAAACTCCCTTCAAGACAGTTACTTCATAATTATAAACTAACCTTATCTCCACGTGGTCCTGATTGACCTGGGTTTCCATTTCTTCCTGGAGCGCCCTGGAAATTTGGCAAAAATAGATAATCCAAGAGGCCTACTGCCAGTAAATCAGTATAACTGACAAAATTTAGGTAAACAACTTTAACAGTATAAAATTCAGATGATAGAGCGCATGTTAATTAGCAAAGCCTAAGAGCCATAGTTGACATAAAACACCTAAATTTATGCTAGCATACAAACATGAAAATATATGAGGAAAATGGTGAAATGACGCCATAATCAACTTGGGTCTAAATCACCAACGCTAGCCAACTCAATTCAATTCACTTTCATTCAATTCAATTGGTACTCGATCTTGATTTAGTTAGGTTCAAAAACTGTGGCTTCAGTAGTGTTGAGGGTATGAGCTCCTTAATGCTCAAAATGTTTGACATGAAAAACCATGGTATACATATATAACTAATGTTAATTTGCAATGTTGTAGAAATCAAAATCTGCAACCTGAGTAGCAGAAAGCTGAGAAACAGAATTTTTGATAAAAATAGATTTTGACATACATCACGTCCGGGCTTTCCACGGGGTCCCTTATCTCCTTGTGGTCCAGTTGGTCCCTACAGAAAAGAAAACTTTTGCTACACACGGTCAAAAACCATGAAACATGTGAAAAACTACATACATATACACCATGCAAATATTTCCTCAAAGATGAAGAATCTTTGGAGGTTTATCTAACAAGGCAGCAGAAGTCTTTGCTAGAGAATCCTTAATGTGTTATTCAAAAAGAGTATATCAACTTCACAGAAATGATTTGAGAAGACAATAGCCAACAAACCTCATCTCCTTGCTCGCCATCTTCACCATCACGTCCATCTAAGCCATCATCTCCCTGTTCAAATAACAAGCACACATTGTTTATGTAAGCATCAGCTAAGTGTTGGGCAATTTTATTTTTTGAAAAAGGTTGAATTACAGGAACAAACATACCATAGAAATTTGACGAGGTCTTATGACTTTGATGAATTATATGGAATATAGTGAGCAGTTTCTGATACAAATCGAATTTTTTTCTAACAAACATACCTTTGGTCCTCTTGCTCCAGGGGGTCCACGCATACCGGGAAGTCCAGCCAAACCCTAAAATTAAATATTCAATAAATTATGCTTCGCTGATGAGTTGCTTTTGTTTCATTGATGCAACTATTTTCCTACGCTTGGTTGAACAGAGGTAGCCATGATATCTTTAGTATTTTATCCTTGATTTCTTAGTTGAACATCTTGGTTGATCATCTTAGTTGAACTGTCCTTACAAGTGATTCAGATACATTTTAAGTTAAGATATACATTTATAAGAATCATTTAAATTAAGATATATTTAAATTAGGAAATACAATTTCATATATATATATATATAAGAAACTATATAGAAATTTGTCTTTTGATACTTCCGTAGCACAGTGCTCAATACGTTAGCACGTAGAGCGTGATATATTAGATGTAGAGATAAACCATGTAGTTTTACTTTCTTCAATCTTAGAAACTATATACATATATACCTATACCTATATACAGTTGAATCCCACTTGGAGTTAGTCGTACTGCAGAAAGCTATGACCTTCAGTAAAACCTATTGGAGTTTTTCTACCGTACTCAAGTCAAAAAGTTCGCATAAGTCGTAACCCAGAAAAGTCGGACATTCTCTCAGTCGAATATTTCCTCACCTATCAGATCTGACTTAACAGAACTCAGATGCACATGTAAGAAACACTCATTGTCAGACAGTCAACAAAATAACTTTACACGTTATGAAGGCATAAATGAGATGTCAAAATCTTTTTGTGAACTTACCATTTTTCCTGGTCGACCTGGAGATCCACGTGGTCCAACAGGTCCTCTTGGTCCCTAATTGAAAATGATAAAGTTTATAAAAAAGGAACTTGCCAATGATGCAAACGGTGAAAGTCTGTAATAGTGTTGATGATTTAATAGAAGAGTTTAATGAAATGACAAAATTAGAAATGAATAGAAATGCAAACAATATTTCACTTACTCTTCGTCCATCTTTCCCGTCGTTGCCATCAAGCCCATTGGCACCATCAAGACCCTGAAATAAACATTTGTTTATCTCAGTTTCAATTTTATCTAGTAAATTTAAAGTAAAATTAGAAAAAAACAACGTGCTGCATAACTAAACAACTCCCTATTTATTTTTTGCATTCACAGGTCAGTCCCAAGAGCAGAATCCTGGTCAGAAACCAATATCATTGGTGCACATAGGCAAAGTATCTTCTAATTCATATCTGTCGAACTAAAGATCATTTCAAATGTCAATCGCTCAGACAGATAGGAATAAAAAACAAATAATTATGTCAACGATTTCAATAAAGAATGGAGGACATTGATTCAAAATTATGCGGCAGTTTTTGTTAAAACAGTTACTTAGCTTAATTATATATACTAATTTTCTCTTCTTCAACTGTGTTAGGATGCTGAGCAATTCACATAAAAAGCAAACATTAAAGCCAAGACTTACTGGTCTACCAGGAGAGCCTGCTTTTCCCTCAGGGCCTTGTATGCCCTTGTCACCTTTTGGTCCTTGTCGTCCATCTGGTCCTGGTGTGCCGGGGCTTCCTGCTGAACCCTACAGCGAAATCTCAGACATTGAAGCTTTTGCTGTTTCCAACAACATTTTGCTTACACTGCTTTCAACAATATGAATGGCTTCAAAAACAACCCCCCAGTGGATGAAATCAACAATGATGCTAATATCAAAATTTTTCAAATTTGAGGCATGATTGTCATAACTATCATCTAACGACTATGTGCCCGATTCTATCTTTCAAAGTAATTCTCTCTAAACTTAGACAACACTGTTACAACCAAATGAGTTACTTCCTTGCAATTAAGCATATACAAATTTTTCATTTATGATCATTGAAGACTTTTATAAACAATTAGAGCTCATGGCCTCCTTTCTAGAAATCATATCTTCAATTTGGTTGGCAGGAAGATATCTAACTGGATTGTGATATAAAGTGCCACTTTTAAAAGAGCTAATTGTCTTACCATTGGTCCTTCAGCTCCTGGGGGTCCTGGTCGTCCTTGGGCTCCAGAGGCACCCTAAAGAAAAAGTTATCAATGATATTTTCTCCAAGCATATTGAATAACAACTTATTCCGAATATCGACAATTAAGATGAGCTAGTCGATATGTTTAGGTAAATCGTTGTGTCTTCTTTATGCAGCTTAAGTACTGTAAATTCTCTTTTTAGCCCACCTTTCAATTAAGCCCCCCTCTCTTATTAGCCCCCTTTTCAGAAGGAAAAATTTAATTAGCCCCCCTCTCAATTTAGCCCTCCCCCAAATTTTCACTGATGCTGAAATAAGTAAACTTGACAAAAACAGAGAATTTCATTTTATTCATTGGTCGTTCAATTCTTCGCATCAAATTTAAATTCACACCATGACTCTAGAATTAACAATTATTGATGATGACGATGACAATATTATTGATATAGAAGGCTGATTTGATGTTTTTTATTTTGCAAATAACAAAAAATTTTACCACTATAAATGGTTTTTTATTATAAAATATTTATTAAGCCCCTTCTCTTAATTTAGCCCCCTCTCTTAATTTAGCCCCCTCTCTTATAAGCCCCCCTTTAAAGTGTTGAAAAAGAATAAGCCCCCGAGGGGCTAAAAAGAGAGTTTACGGTATGCAAAAAGCTTTTCAGAGTCTTTTCAGAACAAAGAATAAAATTGGCATAGTACTTTGCTCAACTTTAGTCCAAACAGGTCTTTACTCCCTTCGAAAATCCATTTTTACTTTAACAATGCTTTTGACTTAAAATCGCCAATCCTTTCTCTCCTTTCGACTTACCTGAACACCTGTCTTTCCACGTGATCCCTTCTCTCCTGATATTCCTGGTTGACCCTAGGATAGATTAAATAAGTGTGTTAAATGCAGTGGGTATATTCAGCAAAGAAAAATCAGACTATGGAGCTAGCTGAAGTCATGTACGTTTCCTGTTGATACATCTAAATTCCCACCATCCTAACTGTGACAAGGGAAACAGCATGATAAACAGCCACATCAACTTCGAAATAAAGTTCTTTACATTAGTTCCAGACTAAATTCGATCTTCCAGCAACTGGATTTTGACTTTTAAGTTTCCAGCATGTGTTTATCATTTTACTACCTTTTCTTCAATGATAACTTCACTTCTTTAGCGACAGGTATGGTGGTTCACTCAATGTAACAATGCGAATATATGTTGCTCGCCATAGGAATGCGTTCGAAGTATAATGAAATATTGCATTTTCGATTTAAGAGTTGGAAACATGAGTTTTTTAGCCAGAAAACTACACTTACAGCATTTCCGACGGATCCACTGCGTCCTGGGGCACCAGCAGGTCCTTTGTCTCCCTGTGCAAAAATTCACGAAATGATACCAAATTTCAGATATATACAACAAAAGAACAAACAAACTTATAAAAAAATGTTGCTCACCAATTTCCGTTAGAAAAAATGCTATGTAAAACCACACCAATCAATATTTCAGACAATGTAATCAATATGGCATGCACAAAACTAGCATAGGTCCCAACAAACATGAAATCAGGTATTGCTTTCAAATTTCTATTAACAGAATCATAGATATGAAGTTACCTTTTGACCCTTGGCACCTGACTCTCCAAAAGCTCCTTTAGGTCCAGCTTTTCCCTATGCAAGAAGAGAGCTCTGTGTTAAGTAAATAATTCATATTATATATGAATATTATATAATTAATAAATAATATAAGCAAGAAGAATTAAGCTACAATTTGGTATTCGTGTAGATTTATTAGTACTGATTGAAATTAAGCCTGCCTATAAACCAGAAACTACAGCAAAATCTACATACTTGAGTAGCAGACTTTTGATTTCAAGCAAGCAAATAACTGTCAAAGCGGATGAGAATTGGCTTTTAAAAGAAAGCCTATCCGAAAATTTATATTTCACTAGCTTTGGTGCAGTAATAATTGAAAAACCTAAGATACGAAATTTATAAATAAAGTTGCTCTTACTGGTGGTCCTCGTGAGCCATGTTCTCCTGGAAGACCTGGATCTCCTGGAGGTCCCTAGACAAAAATTAAATGCCTTTGAGCATATACGCTAAAAAAACTTTCAGAACAACTAGAAAAAATACAAGCAGAAAAGCAGAATCGAAATGAAAAAAGAACTGTATTAAAGCGCTGAATACTCAATGTAAATAATAACATATACTTAAGACACAACTTCAGCATGGTCAACTTTTAAATTTACCTTTCAGCATAACAAACATTCTAATGGAAATAGTTACACTTATATGCAAGTTAATACAATTACTAGATATATATATGCATCGAAAAAGAGAAGACAATGAGAAAGTTTATGAGCTCTAGGCTCACTAGTATATTTAAAAGGCCTTACCTGTGGACCTTGGATTCCTGGGAAGCCATCTTGACCTGCTTTTCCAATTTCTCCCTATCATAGAATACAAATATGTTTATAGCACCTTTTTGCATTACATTTCTATATCGCAAAATTATTAACACTGGAAATCATGCAAATACGGTATCTATTCAGAAACGCTCTTTTGCAAATTATGAAAAAGTATTAAAACAAATTTTCAGTGAACAATTAAAGATGATAGCTACATCAGGATAGTGAAATTTAGTTTTTTTTATCAAAGCTACATGTACGGTTTGGATGGATAACCATTGTACGAGGGAATTATAATGCCAAAGAATATACATACGAAAAAATATACTGTCAAAAAGACAACTGTTGAGGGGATAGAAGTTTAAATTTATCATCTTTAGAACAGGTTTCTATCACGGAATATGTCAAAGATTTTGTCTCTATTTACACTTCTTCCAACTTTGCATGCAATTTCAAGTTTCAAGTCAATAACTATAACTGAGATTATCTTCCTTGTGATGAACATTTTAAGCGATACTTACTGGTCGTCCAGCTTGGCCTGGCAGTCCTGGTTCTCCTGGTGAACCACGGCTACCCTAAATGGTAAAAAGAAATATGGAAGATTATACACCTGGCCTCAGGTAAAAAACTTTAAAAGTTAAAATATAAGTTTACAGCAAATTTCCACTTAATTTTTTAGGCAAGGCAGACCAAGGGGCTGCTTAGTAGAATATGGAAATATTATTTCTATGAATGGGCTGTGTAACTAAAACAGATATAAAAACAGTCCCCCACTTAAGACAAGATCTATGAAAATGAGATTTGAAGGAAATCAAAGCACCAGAATCAAGAAATTAATCTGGTTAGATAGCAGGTGTTCTCAGCAGAGACTTGAAATGGTGTAACCTATGGAGTGTTTGAATTACAGTTGAGAAACCGGTTTGTAAATTTATGCATACAGCACATGAATGTTTAAATCATGAAGCAATTTGACGGTGGAAATTATCTCAAGCCAAGCTAAGTCTGATCACAAAGATAGTCATTATACCCTTTCTCCGTCTCTGCCATCTCGTCCCATGTCTCCTGATGCACCTGTATCTCCCTAAAATAATAATGTTAAAATTACCCAAAATTCAACTGAACTTAAAATAAAAATATGATACTAGCGCATACAGCTCTGCCTTTAAAGCATCAAGCACGATATAAAATTATTCTAATATATATATAGACCTAACAATAATGAATTGTACCATCTGAATAAAATGGGGAAAATCTGCCTTTTAGAAAAAAGTTTGCACCAGAAAAAATATTGAAAAGATTCCAATCTTATAGGACTTGCTAATCCAATTAGCCTATCAATGAAGACAAATTATTGCATATTTACACCCTCAAAAATGGGGTGAAAATGCAATTGGTGGGTACAAAAATGCATTTGGAGCAGGTAAAGTCAACAAAACATAGAATTTAATTAATCTTTGTAAACTTTCTAACATTAAGCTGTATGTCTAAAACTCGTTTCTGTATTCTGAAATAAAAGAAACTCTAACAGCTTCATGGAACTACAGTGGGTTTTAAAAAATCTCATAAACTGATTATTGAATATCTAGCGCAAATAAAATACCCCTGATTGTACTTACTTGATCTCCAGATTCACCATTTAGGCCTGGGCGTCCTCTTTCTCCTATTGGTCCCTTCAAAGAATAATATAAATGTTTAGGACATTTCATCATAATTTGAGGGCAGCTGTCTTGCTCTAGCTGTTAAAACTGGCTATTTTTTCAAATTTTGGTTTTAAGAAAAATCACAACTAACTGGTTAAATAACGATTTCCATACAGATGTGTAAAAGATTTTTACGTTAAATTTTACATTCTACAACAGCGAAATAATTCTTCCAAAATCATCACAAAAAAACGAGCAAATCATTCAAATAAAGTCTCACCATTGGGCCTTGAGGTCCAGTGTCTCCACGAGGTCCTGCACTTCCTGGTGCACCCTAGCGGAAGAAAATTAAATTACTTAAGCGGAGCGATTTTCATAATACTTTTAGTGTTTACTGGCTGTTAATTTAGAAAATCAGTGTTATGTCATTTCGTTTCGTTTGCACTGAAAGCATTTAATCTTTCATTGGGTTCAAGTTTAGTGATCCAATCGCCAAATGGAAGGTCTTTATTGGTTAATACTCAGGCAAAAACAACAAGTCCCTTCATACAGGTTAGAATTTGCCTTGGGAACAATTAGAATAATTAGAAAAAAGATTTTCTACACATTTTTAAAAATCTATTGTTCTTGAACTTTTGTTCTCTATGAAGCGTATGGTCTCTATACTGAGCTATGTTTTCTAAGTAGACCACAGATACACAATACAAAAGGTGAAATACAATGATAAATTTAAATTTTTCTTGGGTGCTCTTATTAGGCATATATCTAGCAAAACTTGATTTTCTTACCTTGGCACCGGCTTTTCCTCTGCTTCCTTTGCGCCCTACAGCTCCAGTTGGACCCTATTTGAATTGAAATTTGGAACATTAAGATTTAAGGTCTCATAACATTCAAGATTTTTTCGAGAAGGGCACTTCCATCTGCAATGTAATGGCAGACTTTTTAACTAGCCCTTATGATAACTGATTATTGATACATAGTTACAATATTTTCAGTAACGAAATTAGAGTAAATGAAATCCAGTTCTCCGGAATGAGGAAATAATCAGCTTACATCTACTCCAGCAGCTCCTCTCTCTCCACGGAATCCACGTTCACCCTGGAAAAGAAATAGTGTCAGCTCAATACAACATCATAATAATCATTCTAATATTCATTTATACGTTTTTTCACAACATTTTAATACTCAGGACTTTAGAGAGATTGAAAAAACGGGTATGGCATTAACGTTCTATGAAAAATAAATTTAATCAGTGATCTGCACTACCAGTTGAACTCAGTAAAGAGAAACATCACTAATCTCACCAGTTGAACTCAGTAAAGAGAAACATCACTTATCTCACCTGTGATCCAATGCCGCCATCTTTTCCTGGCTGACCAGGTGCTCCCTAGAAAAGAAAAGAGTGCATCAGGATCAAGAATTCAAATTCTTTTATTTAGGGTTCTTTTCTTTTGCTTCTGTTGGAGCCGATCAAAAGTCAGCTTAAAGTCATTTATAAATTAACCAAGTCTCCATCGCAATATCTTTTGCCACACTGTTATTTTCAAAATACATTCACATAATTTTAAAACAAAGGTTACGTGAAAAATTAAAAAAAACTAGAATTGACATCAACACTACAATTGAAAAAAAATCAGAGCAAAAGGAAACAGAAGTAGATTCTTAACATACTGATACTCCAGGCTTTCCTTGCCTTCCCTGTGGACCTGAAGATCCTGGTGGTCCCTAAGAGTGAAATGGTACAGTGGGATTAACTATTGGAGGGTGGGCATGATATAATGATATAACACAATCAAAAGCAACAGTCAAGAATTATGAATGCATGATATATCTTCGAACATATAAGGTATATATATTAAATAACCTTCAAGAACTAGAATCTGTTTTTGTTCATATAAATAAATACTTAAAAACTAAATTGTCAACATGTATATATATACTTAAATATCTAGATTTTCAAAATTTCTGCAATTGTAAAACAGTAGCCAATTAAATCAGCTGTGCAAAAATCCTTTGTAGAAATGGAGTGATAGCATGCTTTATGTGATATATACATAATAGAAACAGAACCCCTGCTTCTACTGAAAGTAACTTGCAACTTGACCCACAGATCAGTATAAGTATACCGTATACATATAAATATAGAATAGATATTGTAACAAATTTTAAACTTAAGTTAACAACAGAAGCTTGAATACTGGATTGATCTCAAAAACGTATATTTTTTTATTTCAAGCTTGATCTTAGATAACTTACAATTGGACCTGGATTTCCTCTTCGTCCCTGTTCTCCTTGGTCACCACGGGCACCCTATCACGATGAGACAAGCAAAATATCAAAATGTGCTTTACAGTCTGAACGTTAGGTAGCATATAATTTTTCAAATAATGCACTTCTCCTCTGGCTGAATTATACAAAAATACATGCATCGTTTGTGTTAAAATGTATTGCTATGTTTCTGGCAAAAAATGGCCATCAGTTGACACAAGTTCACAGACCCAATACAGGATAGAGTGGGGATAATAGATACAACGTAAACAGTGTTCAAATATTACAACAGTGTCAAAAATCAATTAATAACTTACTTGTTTGCCAGCTGGTCCTGCTTTTCCAGGAGGTCCAGTTGCTCCACGTTCACCCTGATAATAGAAACAAGCTACATGTTCAATTGAGGAAAACAACACAATTATTGCTTGGTAACAGTACAGTCACAAAATCTTCTAAAAATTAGTCATACCTTAATGAAAATCTAATTGCATAGTGCTCGTGGAATTTCAGTTTTGAACTAATTGATGCTAAAAATGACAAATCTCAGATAGCTAGCACACCTTGGATAACAAGGATGTCTACTGCCTTAATAACCTCAGATGTTTAGTAGGCTTTGGATCTAATTTAACCCTTAATTCATGCCATAATTCCAAAAAATAATGTTCACTTACAGCTTCGCCTGAAGAACCATCAAAACCAGCTTCGCCATCACGTCCAGCAAATCCTTTGTCTCCCTTTTGCCCTGGTGCTCCTGGCTCTCCTTGGATGCCTGGGGGTCCCTATGGAAATAATATTGGAATTAAATAAATTCATGAAACTTTTCCAGATTAAACACTATGAAAACATTTTTAAAATGCTGAGAAAGAAATAATCACAATCTAGCAGCTGGATTCTTCACAAATTAAATCAGATGTAAAATTGACCACAAAGCTATCAAGTTTATGTTGAAAGATGCATGAGATCTTTTGTTTGGTTAATCAGTTCTGTTGTTTCAATTGTGTTTCTTTTTTCCTCACTTCTCAAATGCAGAATACTCAGGGCAAAATGTATGAGAGCTGGTAGGCCTGTAGCTACATACCTACTGTCTTAAAATAAGCAGAAAGGTGAGATAAAATAGTCTGAAGGTTCATAAAATTGCACTTACAGGTTGTCCTGGGGCTCCAATTTCTCCATCTTTACCAGGTAAACCCTGTGAATGGTTTCAGAATTCCAATCAATTTTACATTTGTAGTAAAAAACTGACAGCAATGATTTAAGAGAAAGAATTTGAATGTCAGATTTTCTAGATTTTCTTGCAGTGTACAAGAATACTCAACTAGTTGGGACCCAAAAGGTTTCAATTTTTTTACCATTTTAAGTGCAGAAGACGAGGATGCCAACAGGTACATTTAATAGAAAAGTACTTCATGTAAAAGAGGAAACAAGAATTATTATATACATACAGAGTGACTTCCAAAATTAGAAGCATTATATACATATGAAAAGTACAACTTACAATTGGTCCATCTTTTCCTTCTAATCCTGCAGGGCCTGGAAGACCTGGTGGTCCCTAAAAAAGGTAATTTAGTTTATTCAGATGTCAAGAGGCACAACACTCATTTACAGAAAAGGGGTTTTATAGCACTAATTTCAGGCTTGATAAAACTATGATATCATTTAAAGGGGTTTTGCCCAATTACCAATTACATACAAGACTGAATAATTGACAGGTAAAGGCTGTCTGGCGAATTTAGCAGATAAATAAAAGATTTTCTGCTAATTATTTGTCTCCATTTCTTCAGATAAAGTTGCATTTTGCTTAAAGACAACATAAATTAAATCAGATTTTGCAGAACAGAAATATATAATCCTAGTAACGGAGGTTTGCTTGCATAATACTTTTAACCTGGTCTTTGCTCACATTGGGCATGGACACGGGCAATCATATTATAAAAGCACAACCAAACACATAGAGATTACTACTGTAGAAATGGATTACCCTTGGTCCACGGATTCCACCAGCTCCTTTCTTGCCATCAATTCCCTAAAAAATCAAATAATAAGAATAAGAACAAAACCTAATTACAGATTTAATTTGAACATTTTCAAGATATTTGTACAGAATGACAAACAAGCTTAAGAAATCAAAGAGAAATAAAACGTTATCAATCTGATATCTTGCTTTAAGAATAAAAAGCATTAAGTAGCCTTGTTTTTATAGTCTTAGCAATGTTAAATTTCCCATTATACTGTTTTGCTAATGGCCTAAGCTGAAAGTCCATACATTCCTGGTTCATGTAAATATTATCTAAACTGCACCATTATTGTATAATCTATTGTAGAACAACTGTAGAAAAAATACAGATAGTTACCCTGTCTCCCTTTTCTCCTTGTGGTCCAAGAAAACCTTTGGGTCCTCTGTGTCCCTTGATTCCTCGGAACCCATCAAAACCTGGTGCACCAGGGTTTCCTGGAAGACCCTTCAAAAAATGACAACAAACTTTTTAGAAAGTGAAATGAAAATTATTGTCAACTTTTGAGAAAGGCTACAATAATTTTTCCTCATTGATGAAAACATCAATTGCAAACAGCTCTTCTGAAATACCTGTGCGCCATTGATGCAAATAAGTCATTTGACTCCTTTCTTATTAGCTTCCAGCAAAAGACTTTTACATACAAGCACTTAAATCAACAAACTTGTAGAATGATATATGCTAAAAATGAATTATGGTCATGTATAACATCACAACAAAACAAGCAAATTAGCCACTTACCCTTGGTCCTGGGGGTCCAGTTGGTCCTGGAACACCTGGACGGCCATCATTTCCCTACGAAACAGATATTTTATGATAAATATTGAATGCAATCAGTAATCATCTGTTTACTTTATGGATTTGAACATTTAGTTGATCTCATTAACAAATACTTTATATGGAAGTAGCAAAAGGATCAGCACATATCTTGTTGAAAAATATGAACAGAGTGATATAAAATTTGCTGAATACTACTTACTGTCTTGCCAATAGGACCTTGTTGTCCAACAGGGCCAGTCATTCCTCTTGGTCCCTAAAACAAGTTATCATAACATTAAGACAAGAAACTTAAAAAGGAAAAAATTAAATATACATAGATCTATATATTCAATAAATTTATCATCAAAAAAGAATTGAGACATGAAACTTGAACATCTCCTCCTCAAATAAGTTACCTAGAAACACAATTGTTAATTGGCAGTTTTTCAATCTTTCAACCTGATAAAACCTTGCAGCAAAGAATGTGTTACATCTAAGTATCCGAAAGCATTTGATTTCACTGAACTGGAATTAGATGTGTACCTTGTTGCCTTTGCTTCCAGATTCACCAGTGTCACCAGGGGCACCAGACTCTCCCTTCAAAAACAAATCAATTGAAATTCAAGGGCATATATCTCTAAAACCATACAATAACAAGAAACAATCATTTGACACATTTCAAGTTTTCCACGCATACTTCAATTTGCAGTAGAAGTAATCTCAGCTTATGCTTAATGCCTAAATTCTGTATCATGCAATGTTTATGTTTTCAACTTTGCCTCAATTATGCAAAACATGCCAAATTTTCACTGCCTACATCATGTATAAAATGTTCTAATGCTTTACATTTAGGTACAAACAAGTTTTCAAATATGAATCTTGGCCACCATAAATAAAAAGTATAAACATGATAAGCAACTAAAAATAAAGCAAGGATAAAAACAAATTACAAACCTGAGGTCCTGCTGGACCACGTGGACCTCTCTTTCCAAGTGGTCCCTAAAATAAAAATAATAGACAACAAGCTCGAAATAAACATATATTATTTATTTGCTAGAAACATATATTTATTTCAGCATTTGGTCAAAAGCCATCTTTGTATTCAGAACAATTATAAACAATTTTGGTGAATTCAGACACAAAGGTTTGCTATATTGATATTAAAAAAACTTTAAAAATTACATAGATGATGTTTGTCTGTCCAAAAAGTTATGTATAGTCAGAAAAATTACCTAAGGTGCTAATATAAATACACATTTTATTCCATTACAGTTAATTCCATTACATGAAATACAGTTAATTCTACATCTAAAAAACAAATAAACTTTGAGGTCTATGAGTGATGCCTTTGACAGGCAAACGAATAAGAAGCAGGAAATGAAAAAAAGCTGTGAGTCAAGTTCAGCTAATACAATAACATTTATTTTCAATTCCCATAGAATCATTTTGCAACTTTTATCATGAACTTACCATCAGACCTCTTGGACCTTGATTACCACGGAAGCCAGAAGGTCCAGGAAGACCCTATGGATAAAAAAACCAGCTTTATACATCCCTTAAAGCATCTACAAAATATAAAATCTAAATACATGTGATTATCTTGATTTCTTTTTTTATGTTCATTCTTCTGTCCTAACAGCACCTTAGTTTTAATGTCCCAAAAAATGGAAATATAAAACTATCTAAGCAAATACAGGAAAATGTGTTTGGATAGCATTCTTACATTCACTAACAAGATTCCCTTACCCTTTGTCCTTGAGCTCCTGGAGCACCATCTTCACCTGGGGGTCCCTACAGTAGAAAAATAATAAAAACTATTTATACCATGCATAACATATTATTCACATTACATAAAATGAATATAAATATATTTGAAAAATGCCCCTCTAGAGAAAGAATTTCCCCAAGAGGAAAGAATTGTCTAAATTCTGTTCATAGAAAATCAGGATATTTCTTGCCTTGTACAACCTTTAAAAAAATTTGTTGACTATTACCCTTTTTCAAAATCAATCTTTGACACAATAAGTAAAATGTTTGTATATATTTCAAACTTGGCTATATTACCGAGTTTCCTGGTGCACCTGGTTCTCCGGATGGACCTGGATTTCCTCTCTCACCCTAAAGAAAAATAAGCAACAAAGGGTTATATGACAATTCCCAGCCCTGGTCAGAAATGTGAAAAAGAAATTTTTGACAACAACTAAAATCAGCAAAAATATAATCAAATTAGACAGAAAACTTACCCTTCTTCCATCAGGTCCCTGAGTACCATCTGGACCTGCATCACCAGGGGCTCCAGTAGGTCCTTGAACACCAGGAGGTCCATCAGGTCCCCTTGGTCCTGGGGCTCCTGCAGGTCCATCTGGGCCATCTTTTCCAGCTGGACCCTAAAAATTTGTTCTCAATCTTTTATATCAAGAAGAAACATAATTTCAAATAAAGACAAAATCAAGGGGAAGAAAATTATAGTAGAAATATAAACAAATAGAATATCATACATGGTAAAAAAGCTTGGTCCTGCTTTTTGTGTAAAGTTAAGCCAATAGTTAGAAGATAAAAACATAGAACACATTAATTTAACATCATTTCATCTATAATGGTCATAAAAATTGTCATAAATTCAATTCTAAAACCTAAATATCTGACACACAAAATCATATCATATATACTTATATTTCTTTCAAAATTAAAATACATTACTTATAGCTGTTTCTCGTTCAGCAAATTGGTACCCTTTCTACAGTGAAACAATAACCTTCAAATGTTTTATCACATCATAAGAACAAAGAAAAACTTACAATGTCACCAGATGGTCCTCTAGCTCCTGAGTAGCCTTGTGGGCCTTGTGCACCCTATCAATAGATTAAATATATATATGTAATGTATCAATTCTGCAGTCTAAAATAACCAAACACGAAGAACAGAATGTTTTTAAGAACTATGAAATATACTGAAAGTCAATAAATATATACACCAAATAACTTGTAATATTTACTTTATAATTTAGGCTGATCAAATGAACAAAAGACAGTGTCAAAATGTTAGCACTACAATGTACAAATACTTGCCATCCAGGACATAGTTCAACAACTATGGATTTAGTTTGCAAGTATTTATTTGATTCAGCAACTTGATTTCAGCCTATTCCTTACAAACGTTCAAATATACATAGAGAAAGACGATTATAAAAATATACAGAAATAGTCAATAATTTGATACATACAGTATCACCTTGCTCTCCTTTAGTTCCAACAAGACCTGGAGCTCCCTATAGACATAGATAAAAATAAGCTTCTGTTTCAAACTAGATTTGCAGTGGTTGTCTCAATGAAACATGCGAGTCATTGCTTGAAATTCAAATCCTTCTAAAAAGAAAATCTACTGGAGAACAAAGAGTTCATTTAAAAAAATGTGGTAGCAAATAGCCCCCATCTCCCTAAGTTTTTAAATTTTTTGTCATTTTGAAAAAATTTCATTTTGATTATATAGGCTTTTGATATTGATCATTATCAAAGCGAAAACATCTGGATTTTAAGGCCTCGTAGAAATTTTGATAATCTTTATGTTTTAAGCTTTTTGGCCAACCTTAATGTTAGTCTGGTTTACTATGGCCTTTTTGTTTTAAGCTTTTTGGCCAACCTTAATGTTAGTCTGGTAGAACATTACTATGAAATATAAGTTATCAAATCAACTGAAAACCTTGCGACATTACTGATTCTTATGCCTTGTCACTCGCACTCATTGTTTTTAAAACCCTAAAAACAAACTTTCCCGTGCAAATTTCAGAGTTAATTTTTGTTTTATATTGCAACAACATGTAGAAGTTTCAGTTTCTTACAAAAAAACTATATGTATAATTTCGTTTCATAGGCACTTAAAGAAATGGGGAAGAACTAAATTATATAGATTTGGGGCTGCAAAACCATGAAAATAAAGACATGGCTAATAAAACTTACATCCTTTCCACGCCTTCCAGCGTCTCCTTTTCCTCCTTTGGCACCTGCACTACCTGGTTCTCCTTTGGCACCCTTGACACCCCTAGCACCACTAGAGCCAGCCAAACCCTGTCCAAAAATACTTTCACTATTAATATGCTTTATATATGCAAGAAACATGAGAAACAACATACACAAGGCTTCCAAGAAAAACTGTGCCCAAATTATCTGAATTTCACTTATCCAAATATAAGAGTACCTATTACATTAACAATGACTTTGTTCATAAATTTTATTATCTATTTTTACAGATGCCATTTAGAATACAATGTGAAGTGACAAAAATAATTGTGTCAAAGAATAAGTGGCAATTCATCCCTAAAATTTGGATATTTCATAAAAGTAGAGTAGAAATAAAACAAGTGACCTGGATATAGATACACTCCGAAGGAGGGAAAATGGCACAAGAATTATTGAAAGCTAATGTTGCGCAAATTGATTGTTTTTAAGTGGCGAATGGGAGTGTGTCGGAAATGAAACAACCACCAATCAAAACTTTAATCTTTTTAGAGCACTTTTTTTAAAATAACACTTTCAAAACCTCTTCTAACAGTTTCAAATTTTAATATTTTGACAAGAGCTATGAACTTTTGAAACCGCTTGAGTTGGTTTCATAAAATTGGGCAATGTTTTATTGTGGAATTTCATGCCAGACCTGAAGAATTATTTTGGTTCTCCAAGAACCTTTTAAATCATGGTTCGTAATGTTGTTCATACAAAGCCAAACATTTTCAACGATGTACAAATCTGGACTTGAACGACGCCACGGAAAAACTTGAATTCTTTTTTGTTTGGAAAATAAATCGTTGTAAAAATGGTTTCCTTTTACACAGGTGAATTTTTATTTTATATTTGTGTATAACACTCATTATTTTTTATTTGGGAGAATTTTGAGCTACAAAACGTTGATCAGTGTTGAGTTTCATGTCTTTTACTGTCCCTTGGTGAATACATGGTGAAATAAAACAGACAAAATTGCTACCACTTCTTGGTTTATTACTACTGAAGCACTCTCGAGAAACCTTGTTTGATTTATTGAAGCTGTTGTGTGGCTGCATCTAACATGGTCAACAATTTTCAAAAACTTTAGACCACTTCCTTGTAAAAATTTCATAGGGACTTGCATCTCATTTGACAAATTTTCTCCCTTAGGCGTGGTCTACATTTTTTCAAACAATAATGTTTTTGCGTAAAATTTACATTTCTAACTAGATATTCTATGGCATCAGCAAAATTTGCAAACTTTTCCTGCCGAAATTGGCTATAAAATATGCCTATTTCACCCAATTCATGCATTTGAATGTTTTGTATTGTAAAAATATTGACAAAAGTGCCGCCATTTCGAACAAGGTGGTGCAATAACACCTTGGTGGAACAAGGGGAGTGTAAACTAAAAAAGCTGAATTTCTGTCATTGAATTACTACTGGTTGGTACTTCTGATTACGTTGCATAAAAACCATATAAATTGCAATTTGATATATATATACTTCTTGCATGGGTTACATGTAAATCAATTGATGCTTACAGGCAAACCAACTGGTCCAACAGGTCCTTGTCTTCCTTTTACTCCAGCTGGTCCCTAAAATTAACACAGACATCATAAACAAACTCTAGGAATGGAAATATTGAACAATAATTGTTTGCATAAAAAACTATCATGCAATCATACTTATATCAAATTTGTGATAAAAATAATTAACGGATAAGGCATAAAAGTTCAGTGAAGAAACATACAAAAAGCATGCTTTAAGACCATGCAAAGCGTATACCAACCTCAGCACCATTAAGGCCATCAGGTCCAGTTGGTCCTGCTTCTCCCATGGGCCCCTAATTTGTGTTAAAAAGAAATTGTTATATAATAAAAGCATCAAAATGGTTTATAATACTTCAATATATACTTTATAATTTAACTAAATTAATTTCATATGATAACAATAACTGATATCAAAACTGATCGCATAAAAAAACCTAACCCAAACCTTATTTCTGTGAAAAAGATAAACTAAACCAAAAAAGCAAACTGATATAAATGGAGAACTAAAGCAAATATATGAACAAATTCAAATTTGAATTTTATTATGATAAGAAAAAAGATGCAAGGTGAAACATACTGTTGGTCCTCTGGGTCCTGGTGGGCCAGATTCTCCTTTTTCACCTATAGGTCCCTGAAAGGTAAAACCATAAATTATATATATATAGTTATTACACCAATATTTTCCATTGCAAGTAAGGCATGTGCACAGTTTTGATTAACTCCCACCCCTTCCCCTTTGAAAGTTTGTGCATCATACTCTACGATCAGAGATATCAACATTGAATGGGGTGAGAGGAGTAAAAAGTCCTAATAAAATCTGTATGGGATGGAACATTTCAGAAAAATTAAAGCAACACTATGACTGACCCCAGATGTTGAAAAATCTTTAGCTATAATTAAAGCTGTTTATCTGATCTTAAATTAACTTTATCTCTTCAAATATTTTTACCAAACTCAAAAATCTTGTTTTAGGTTACAATATGTTTCTGAGCAAAAAACTAATGTAGCAAAAGTTTGTCACTTAAGTACATAAATTATAACCAAGTAATATATAACTCATCAATTTTTCATGCCAGATTCATTTAGAGATTTCATGCATGTTCTGCCTGCTTTTAACAAAATACAGAAACTGCAGCAAAATCAGGACACTTCACTAATTTTAACTAGCCTTCTATATGAGACAACAAAGATAAAAGAAAGAAAAGTAGCTGTCTGTTTATAAGTTGTTTGAGAGTAAACTGCAAAATTACCTTGCCACCTTGGTCACCCTGTGGGCCAGCAGGTCCTCTTGATCCCTTATAAAATTTTAACAATTTTAAAACTTGACATTTAACATATCTAGATAGTCACACTCAAAAATGCTTACTTATAAGTTGCAGATTAATATATTGTATAAGCTCTTTGTATCTTGGGCTAAAAACAAGTAATTTTGGCTGCAGCACAATTATCTAGAACTTTGTCTTTTGTAAAATGTATCAGCCTTGCGCTTTTGCTATCAAGTCTTTATTACATGCTTCAAGTTGCTCATATGGATCAATGAAATTGACTTTTACTAGGCATCAACAACAAGCATTTGGATTCTTAAGATTTGATATGGATTTGTAGCAATCCAAGTAGTGATCGAAAAACGAAAAAAAACCAACAAGTTTTTAACAAAGGCAATTTAGTATTGTTTTTAAGGGGATAAAAGGGCTTGCGAATAATAAGTTTTAATCTAAACTTAAAGGGAATATACTTACAGGTGGCCCGAAAATGGTGACTCGAGTCTGGAAAAAAGTATACAACACATGAGAAGAAGGAAGATAACAAAAAACATATTTAGTTAGGACAATAAAAAAATTCAGCAACCATTAATCTTGTTTGCTTTGACACTTAACCTCTTGTTGATAAAGTTGGTAAGTGGTAAAAACTCAAGCCTGATAACTTCTTTAATTGGTTTGCATTCATTGAATTTGAAATTTGACTCAAGCATAGAAATTCTGACTTGAGCTTCAAAGAATTAACCTATTAATAACAAAAACCTGAACATATGTAGTATATACTAGCATATTTTCTCAAGAAAAATACATGGAGGATGCTTAAGTTCTATAAAACATGTTTGAGTTCCTTTAAATGTTCTATGTCTTCAAACATTTAGTGTTCTAATATACTGAAGGATAATAGTCTTTTGTTCTAAAATAATGGGGAAATGTGAAATCGTCTTATCAAAACAATAGGCTCCTCCCAATATTTGACCAAGTGTCTGCCCCTGGAAAATACTGGAATTGCTGAGAAATGTTTTCATTACCATTTTATTCACCAAAACACTCTACTATAACCACCAATTTAAAGTAGAAATTCAAGTGGAACAAAACAAGCCTTCCTGTCATATTTTCAGGCCTGGCAAATGCTTAAAAGACATTGCCTATAAGATTTAGTCAAAAACTCACTGTCTGGTTGCTCCCTGGAGGTCCTGGGGGTCCAGGTGGGCCAACCTCTCCTTCTTCACCATCTGTGCCATCTCCTCCAATAATTCCCTACAGAAGAAATATTATTTTGTTTAAAGAAAATTGTAGACATGAAATAAAAAATATTTTTAATGGAAACATAAATGTTTATCTGGAAAATTTACAGTAACATCAGTTTGAAACTCACTCAAAGTGCCTGAAACAACAAATCTAGATCAACATCAAAATGTAATTTAGCAAAAAAACCAAACAAAAATTAGCTGAGCATCAATATTGCAAATTAACATGGGGAAAATTTACAATGCTATTTATCATGGACTAAAGCCCTGCATTGTAAAAATTGACATGTTAGTATAGGTGAGGGCTTATTCAGTGGAAACAACTACCATACACTATGAAAAAAGCATTTAAAAAATTTTCTCCCACATTAACATATTTTATCTTTCTTGATAGGAAAATAAATTATATATTTATTCTGTAACATCCAAAGAAACTACATTTTTTGATACTTTGTCTTAAAGTAGCAAATCCATTTCATTAAAAAAACTGAAAACATACTTGAGGGCCTTGATCTCCTCCATCTCCTTTTGCCCCTTTGGGTCCTGCTGGTCCCTAAAGAAATGATCCATGAAAAATTTAACCAAAATAAACATCAAGAGAAAAGCTTGTACAAAGCACAGTGTAAAAAAATGCAATACTACAGATTTACAAGTAAAGAATTGTACATCATTTTTCCACAAAACAGCTGAAAACATCAGATGAAATTTAAGAAATGCTTATGAAGCCATGAGTCATCACCAATTGTAGAATAATAAATAAATATATATATATATATAAATTGTAATCATAAGGCAAGGACTCACAGGAGGAAAATCTTTCCACAAGGGTGCTGCCCAATTGTATCGAACCACACTTTGTCAGACAAAAACAATGAAAAAAGACGATATATATATTATTTTTAAAATAATATATATATATATATATTGTCTTTTCTCATTGTTTTTCTAAAACATTTTTCTTTATATTTATATATATACATTTAAGAACATTTAAGATTGCACTTGACATACCTCATCTCCAGGTTGTCCCTTTACTCCTTTTTCTCCTTTTTGTGCTGTTTGCTATAAAAATTTGAATCATCTTTAAGTTATAGTTTCCTTTGCAACCAGAGAATCTCATAAATACTGACGCTATTGAAGCACTGAGAGGGTTCAACAGAGGATAAATGGCATCAGCATGGAAATATTACATTATCATGGAAATTTGAACAACTTCTTTCAAATTTGGCTTCAATCAATAGCTTAAAGCAAGCAAAAAAATCCCACAATATTGACAGCATCTCTACTAAGAATCAGTGAAGCTACTTTTAAAAAGTTTATGCCTTTGTTTGGCAGTCTTGAAGATTTGCTATTAGCAAGGTAGAAAAATGGGAAAAAAAGATATGTGATGCATTTGATGAATGTTGCAATCATTTATTTTAAAAGAACCTATCTATTTAGTGAATACTCATTGCTTTAGCTAGATGCAAACAAAATTTTCTGCCAAGCTTGATAGGAGAGGAAACATCTTTATTCGTACTACCTGTAGGTACTTGTTTAATCATTGCTCCACTGTCAGCATGTTCAATGCAAAATTATCTTCCATTATTTTGCCTTGCTGAATTTTCCAACATTTTCGTCTTAAAAAATATAATCTTACAACTTGCTACTCATCTATTTTAGTTTCTTTGGAAAAAATTGCTTCAGGCAGTACGTACAATACATCCATGCATATCTTTCAAAAAAATTTTCCATCAAACTCACCCTAATGGTTAAAATATTTTGACACAATATATTATGCTCCATGTAATTTAATTATTCTGCCAGTAGGCTCTTTAGTGGGAGGGTATGTTCCAATATGTTGTAAGACGGAGAGAAACGGGCCTGAGTCATCAAATAAGACCAAATTATTGAAGTACGCTTTGAACTTACTACATCAGCAGATGGTGGTCGTTCTTCTATTTCTTCATCAAAATCTGCAATAAAAGCACGAGTATTTTAATATTTCGGTGTTTCCATCATGCCAACACCGAAAATCGCTCAGTGCGAATTCGAAACGGGGCGCCACTACATGGCATCTGCAAAATTCCATTTTGACGCTAAAGTTTTGTGTTGTCTTGTCATCTTACCACAGTTCTTGCACTCCAGGCTTGTCCGAAGTTAACAAAAGAGATTGTTATTTCATAATCTCTTCCTTGTTCTTGTCGAGCAACTATTTCCGGTACATTGTTTAAAAAGCTCCAGCTGAGGCAATGTGGCTGAGATGAGGATATCGGGATGAGGTGAATATCCCCCTCAGATACAGTTTCCAGTATTATTGTATAGTTTATGAGATTCAAGTTATTTCTATTTTCTGCATGGGGATCAGAAACTTTGCCAGAGTTAGATAAATATATAGACAAAGCTGCACTGAAAACAAAGCCCAGCCAGTTATATGCACGAGGCGTGGTGAAAAAAATTGCCAAACGATGAACTATTCATTTGAACTTTATTGCATTTGAATGAGTTTAAAAATATGTAATTTTAATTTATTTGGGTAATGTATTATGAATTTAAACCAAATATTGTTACTGCAAGCTGACTCGGCGGTGAATTATTATGGAGCGCTCTCAAAAACCCAAAAATTTAGTATAATAGAGGCACAATATGAACTCATGATCCTGGTTTACAAAATTGCACCGAGAAATTGAAGCGGTTTGATTATTAATGCAACCATTGAACTGCGAGAGCGAATCTCATAACAACAGAATAGCCTTAGGGTTGCAAGCCTACGGGGCGAGAGCGAGTCACAACTTCGCCCCAAGATATTTCTCCGCGCACAGTCGCTTTTTCATCACGTTTCAACAAACGATCCCAATACTCCTTAAAAGAAACCATGTAGCCACTTTAAATAACAACTCTATATCCTATGTTCACATTTAAATTAGAATTGGGACACAAAACTGCTAACTTGAGGGTTTGAACGAAAAACCGCAAGTGTTCAGCTCTTCACCGGAAGTTGCAAGGAGCTCCTCTCAACTTTTAATAATTAAAACCTGAAAGGAAAAGTGGAACAACCGTGTTCTTTCTAATGCCTAAAGATAAAATGTCTTCAGTAATGAACTCTATTGTGATCTAGTTCTGGAGATCGCTCAAATTCCTTTAATATCTCGCAAAACTATGAGCGACACTCAAGGTCCCTCCCTAAAGAAATTAAGTCTTGTCTAAAGCTACTTCTGCAAGTTTTAAGCATAGGAATTTAACATTCTGTAAGAAATATATTGCCTTTTTTCCAGCCCTTTGGCATTCGCATGTGACCCATTATCCGACGCTCTGAACGATATGGTTGAAAACGTTGCCCAAGGCCAAAAAGACGTTCGCACTTTCGCAGTGCCAAACGGTTGATATTCCCAACAGATGAGATTGGGTATGCCTTTTCATCAGAAAGTATACGATCTAAAGATTACTTGGGGCAGCAGGCTACACCCTCAAAGGTGAATAACTGGGAAAAAACAGCGATATGCTTTCACGTGCTTTAAAATCATGCTTACCTTGATTTTGGGCCAAAGCTCCAGCAATAATTGAGAATAAAAACAGCCAAGACAAGAGCTTGATTGAAACGTCCATCTTCCCTTTAAACTGCCAATGTGGCAGGGGGAAATATACGACGCTTGTCTGTGTCTTGCTCCGTTCCAATGCGGCCCGTACGCTCGGAGCTGCGACCACAGTGACTCTCCAGTATTTAAAATTTTCATAGTTTATCTTTATATTGCGGTATAGTATAATGGCACCCCACAGTGACAAGAGAGAGAGAGTTTGGTACAGAAACGGATGTGAGATTCTAATCCATCTGTTGGTGTCTCAGCTTCCCTATTGTTAACCGACCCGCCCTGTGTACAAGTGCTTCCGATGGTTTGCCTTCGCAGCCCCAGCTTTCAGTTACTGTAACTCTTAATAATAAAACAAGGGATGATTTTTGGGGCGTAGGGGCAACATCCCCCATTCAAAAATTGTCCATCTGGTATTTTTTAAGGGAACTCAAACTGCTTTGTTAAAGTACCATCTATAATTGACACATTTCTAAGTGCAGAGCCGACGAAACACGGGGTCTGGGGACATTACATGGCCTTATACACTTTTTTTTATAAGAACCAGTAAACTTCAGTTCAGGCTGGCTGTTCTTATTTTTTTTCGAAAATCTGAGGCTGGATTGTTCTTAATTTGTTCTTAATCTAATAGGGTGTAAGCAGTGCGAGTGCTAGCTTTTTCGCTCTAGGGAGGTGTTCAGGCCTCATTTGCCAACAAAGTGAGTGAGACAACCTTCATTTGCCGAAAAATTTGAATATTCGACGAAAAGCACCCACACATGGCTAAAAATCCTTGTTTTTGAGAAAAAACGTTGTTCAAAATTGCATTTTGCAGAAGCTCAGCCTCAGCTTGTTCTTAATTTGTTCTTAACTTTTGACCAATTTTGAGGCTCGTGTTCTTATAAAATTGTTCTTATAAAAAAAGAGTGTACTTTTCTGCAGAGCAAAGAAAAATGTGAAAGAATATAGTCCAGTGGTGGTGCACTTTTGTCAAAGCATGGTCCACCTTTTTCCCTCTGGAAATTGATTAAAAAGCGCTACAATGCCTGCCATAAGTCTTGGAACACTGACATCAATTTCCAAGGTCAAAATCAATCATCCCCCTCTCCCCTACAGAACAATGTTGGTTTACTATCAAACGGGTTAGGATTTTAGGAAGCACTTTCTTTTGCGCTTCTTTTATGATATTTCTCTAAATCATCAACATTGTTTAAGGGGGAAGGGGGTAGAAGTAGCAATTTTTTTCATGAAATGAATGAAAGATATCAAATGCAGCGTAAATTGCTGGGTGTTCCAAGTCCTTTTGGCAGGCATTGTAGGTAGGGGTATTATCGTATTTTCACCTAAAGAAAATTCACCTGTTACAAAACGCTGAAACGAGGCGAAAGGGGCATGATCCCACTGGACACGCCCATTACCCTCCCACTCTGCAGTAGCTGGCGCCACCACTGTTGTAGTCTACCATTCTGTAGGTTATTGTGTTTAATGTTTCTTAAAATTTCCTCTTAGTTAAATTTCCATTACTATCTCTTTAGGACATGGAATATCAATCAAGGAAACAGTTGTTTGGCGGTACAGAACTTGAAAATGGCTTTGAAAAAAGCAAACATTTTACGACATATTGGCAAAAAGCTTTTTCGTCTTACAATCCTCAGAGCATAAAACATCAGAATAAGGGTCCGAGAGAACACGAGGAAAAATATATATCCAGTTGTGGATCGAAATAGGCCAATGCCGCGTGCCTAACGAAAAATTACTACTGGAGTCCAAGAGAGAAAACGAACTCCTTCTGTCTACACAATGGCGGCTTTTTCGTTTGTATGTAGATCGATTCCAAAACTGCTAGATGGGAAGACGACCTGGCTCTGCCAATTATCCAAAACATGTCGTCATTATAGAGTTTAGCCCGAAAGATGATCATTCTACGATGTTTGGGATCCGATCCAAAATAACATGGTGCTAATCTTCAATGACAGGGTTTTGTTTCTTCTATGGCCTAAACCTGAATCACAAGTCTGCAAGGTAGATTTGTTAGCAGAAAAACGCTTAAAAACCTTCAGAAAGAGATAACATCAGCTCTTGAATGAATTGAAACCGCCATAAAGGAAATTTTTTAGAATATGAAAAACCAAGAATCGTTAGATTTCTTCTTTGAAAGCATCGTCAAGGAAGTTTCAGAGTCTGATTTTATCGATGATACTGTCCTTCCAAAAATGGGGCCCTTCACTATAGGGGCCCATAGAAAATAGCTCAAGTGAAAAAGTTCATAAGTAATATTCCAGATTCTCCATTATAACAAAATGTCAATTATAGAAAAATTATGAGGTCTATGAAAAGTCTATGAATAAAGTAAGGTAGAAGCAGTGTTAAACGCCTCTGACTGCTTGATTGTTAAACGCCACCGATATTTTTCTTAAGAATTTCTCATCTTTGTGGGCTTGGGCTAAACAAGGTGAAAAGCTTCTGAATGCTATAACAAATGTGATTGCAACAAGGCAACATACAGCAATATGTACAACATACAAATATATTATATGGTACGAGCATCTATTTGCAACAGTGTGTTGGTTTTGTCCGAATTTAGTTAAAGAATTAAACGTTTGCCATTATCTAAGACTTAAAAAAAATTTCATTTTCATGCAGTATAGTGTTAAGATATCAGTTATGCTCATATTATATAAAATAGCAAACAGAAGTAGCCATCCTCTTCGAAAATTCCCGGAGGAGCATTCTCCATACCCCCTAGAAAAGTTTGCCTTAGGCGTACTTTACTATTCACCTTTTGTCCTAACCCGAGGCCCTTAAATCCTCTCCGGGCATTGTCGGAGGGACTTTTTATAAATGCAACTTTACAAAATAATACCCTAACTTTACAAAATTGCATGATATTTTATCATTAGTTGATCTAGTTGATATAATTTTGTTCATGTTTTATTGCTAAACTGTATTTCGTATATTTTTCTTATTTGTCATATTCTGGTTCCTTATTTAATGTAAAAGACATTGCAGGGGCTTTTTCAGCGTGCAGTTCTACACAAAATGTGCAGTTCTAAAAGTTTTCTGTGCAGTTCTAAAGCAAAATCAGTGCAGTTCTAAAAATTTTCTCTAATGAACAAAAATTTCTGGAAATCTTTGGAAGAGGAAAACAAACAAAAGTTTAAGTAATGAAACACAAACAATATAGTAAAGATGGCGTTGAAATTAAACAGACACCTATCCTATATGGATAAAGAACTTATAGATAAAGAAAGACATTCAATGCTGAGGAAATATAATTTTTTACGAAACTCAATACTTGTTATATCGTTTTGAGTCACACACACACGAAGCTTAAAATTGATAGTCTCAAAGCGGGAGCCTGTTTAAATTCATAAATCAGAGAACATTGAAAATTCAGAACAAAACATTGCTTTATCGTCATCTGTTTCGTCCATCTAATTGGCATAGCTCAAAAAAAGACAATATAGAAGTTTTTAAAATATTATATATTACATCGCTATCAAATGTCGTTCCTCGAACGCAATTTTGTCTTTTAAGATTCTATATACTAGAGTTTGGTTTCTTGCGATTCTGTATAACCAAGAACTCACATTGGTTGTCAAATGCTAAAAAATAGAGCTCTTTCTAAGCTGGATTTCGGCCCTTTTCTTGGAGCTGGAATTCGTATTGTGGAGCTGATAATGTAATTCTGTGGGGCTGGAAAATCCAGACAAAATTATGAAGAATTGCTGTGCATTTTTAACTCTTTTTCTCGTCACATTTCGTCTGATTGAAATAGTTCGACAGCTGATGTGGCTGATTCACCTTATGCTATAGAATATGTTAAGACATTATACCTGAGCCATAGTTTTTGCTATTGAATTGAATGGTAGGACATAAAGGTTACGGTTTGCAAATGTGGACGGACACGGGGCCCCTGGGGGGGGGTAGGGGCTGCTGGCCTGAAGCACTCTAATGTGCACTCTGAACCAAAGGTCTTTTTCTCTTTCTCCAACTTCTGTTTTAGAATGACCCCTTCCCTCCCAAAATTTTTCTAAATACTATGGCATTTTTATGCATCTCTGAGAATCGTCGAATTGTTTATTCTCAGCGTTATAGTAATTTTTTAAATTTTAGTCTAGGAGATGCATTTCTAGCCATTTTGGAAGACTAAATTTCAAAAAAGTTTTTTGTGGCGTCATTTCTGGTAGAGCAGAGAAGAGCAGGGCAAGTACATATAGGATACGGCATATCAACAGATATTCAACCAACATCCAGAGCCGCAGAGAGGAGCAGGGGGAGATAGGGGCAAATTTCCCCAGGGCCTCAAGGTCTAAAGGGAATATACATAAAGTAATGAATTCCATTTTAAAAATGGGCTTAGTCAATGTAACAAAGGATGCTTGAAAAATAGCAAAACGCTTCAAACGATTTCTCGAAATGGAGTGCTATGTATATTCCTAAATTATATTACCAATAGGCATGGCAATTAAACATGCATATTGTCTATACTTATAGATGCCAATAATTATTCCTTCCACACAGTGCTCCCGAGAAAAATGTGCAACTCTACATTTTCCTTGAAAAAAACCCTGAGACATTGATTACACGCCACATTTAAAAAGTTTATTCTAAAACTTCGCAAGACTTTTTCTATTCTATGTAGACATTAAAATAGCTAAAGCAATTGGACATAATAATGAAAGAAAGCTTGCAAATATTGCCCCGGGTATGCAGTTTCTTGCGATCCCTTGAAAACCATCTTTTTGCTGCCGGTCATAGTGGTGACCGGTAGTATGGGCTCTTGTGCAACCAGCATGCTTTGCAATTTTGTTCTCGAAATGATGAAAACCAACTACAGTATTTTTCTTCACGTAAAAAATACAGCTACTACAAAACATGGCAGTTGAGAAAGAGACTTAAACCCTTCCACCGTCTTGACATTATGGCACATCTACTTTTAATACATTTCGCCGGCCCTGTCTTGTGAGCTGATTTCATTGGAACATTTTTTAACCTTATAGTGAAAATCCTGTGCCAAGATAACCATTGGACATCTTTCTTTCTGGAAACTGTATTCTTCAGTGCCGTCGGAACGAATTTATACAACTTTTGGAGCTGATTTTTAAAGAATTTTCATTCTTTAAATAAATTTAAAACTTTCGTAGAACATTCTCGTGCTCAATTTTAACAAATTTTCAAGAATTTAAGCTTGAAAATTGCTTTTTTGGAATCTAACAGATCGTTGTGTGGTGTGAAAATCCTACAGACAGTGGCGGCTCTTGCTAATGGGCATCTGGGGCAATGCCCCCTCAAAAAGATTCAAGGAAATCTATGATATTCATATTTAATTTTATAGATAGTCTTACTGTGGTTAATTATATAAGTTTGTATCTCTTCTAGAAAAAGCTCCTTGCTATCCCGTCTCGTCCCTAGCCTCGCTTCTGGCCCGCTAGTGCCTTGAGCGATGATGTCATTTTACGGGCAAAGTTTTTTTTGCCCCTAGCCGACATGCGCACAAGCCAATTTTCGACCTCGAGCATTGCGAAACGCGGCCTGTGATTGGCTTATTTGGAGGAATTCGGGGCAAGAAAAATTTTGCCCATAAAATGACATCATCGCTAAACAACAACCACATCTATATATGCTTTTTCTTCTGCGCTCCATGACGATCAACATCGAACCATGAATACAGTGAATAATTTGCAAACTCGACCTTTCTATCGATTATCGCAATATTGATGGTCTGCCCTCCCAACTGTGAAAGTCACGAGCCGCCACTGCCTACAGATAAATACTCTTTGATATACAAATTATCTTGACTGCTCGCTTTGTTGAATGTTCGCTATCTACTATGTTATTCTATACTTATATAGAAAGTCTTTCTACTTATATAGAGATTCATTCCACTTATATAGTGAGTCATTCTTGCTATCTCGACAGCTGATCATCTCGAAAATTCACAATGACCAACCTTAACCTTGAAAAGAAAAATTCCCCTTATCTCGAGCTTTTTCGAATTTTGTGTTGAGCTTGACTATGGAACAACCAAAATTTGTTTTTATATATCGGATTACAATTTACGCTCGTTGGTTCTGTAAATAATTTTCAAGACGCCTTCGAAAATTTTTATGAAATATAAAGATTAACTGTTAAGATAAGATCAGGACACAGAATAAGAATAAAGTTGTTCTTATTCTGTGATCAGGACACAGGGCATTGCCCCACTCAGCGCAATGCCAATTGTATGCTACATAATGGTAACTAATTAATAGAAACATCTATGTAAACAGCAAGAGCTTGCTGAACTCTGGGGCGATAAGATTTTAAATGACAGCAAAGATGATGATATCATATATGATGATCCTATAAAAGGTCGAAGTATGATTCGGAAAAAGTTATTAAAAGAGGTGTTTCCTAGTTTTAGAAATTGATTCAATCCAGAAGCGAAAACAAATTACCCAGGATGACATAATTTTTGGTTTTTTAAAAACAACCTAGAACCTGACATAAAATTTCAGATTTTGACAATGGCGACGTCACGTGTAGTCCTTTACGTAAAAGAACTTAATAAAAAGCAATCTTTGGATAGCTATCATTTTTTAAAATCCAAATTTTTAACTCACCCTTCGTCGTTATTTATGTAAAATAGATCAGAGACGAAGGCACTGGCTAGAAAGAGGCGCTCTGTGCCAAATCCAAAGATTTTCAAGTCCCCTTTTAGGAAGTTGAATTTTTACTGTCACAGTGCTCTTTGTGTCAGAATTTTTTGGTGATTTCTGACCACCCCTCCCAAAAAGTTATAACTGCTTCCTTTGTCCTGGGAATAAAAACTTAAGCACCATGAGTGTACATTTGAGCTTAACGTCTGACAAAAAAGAGTTGCCCAAAAAATACAAAAAACAAAGGATTATAAACGTTATACCGCGAATGAATTAAATAAACGATACTTTACAAACGTGCAGTAAAACGAAAAATTTTAAATATAACATCTTTATAAGATAAAATTTTACTGCTAAAGTCCATTTTCTTTATACAGGTCTACTTTAAACTACATTGAAATTGCACTAAAAATTGATTTATTATGTAATGAATAAAGGTCCTCTGTAAAGTAGTGCCAAAAATGTACAGGGAGAGGAGATATAGCGCATCCTCTATATTGTATACAAAATGAATGTTTCAATTTTTTTCGTTTGCATGCCTCCTCAATATCAATTTCTTTTCATTTTTTCTAGAGTTAAAGAATCTTCCAATGTCTACCCGTTGCTTGAGTAGAAACATCTTAAAAATACGGAATTTAAAGTAGTAAAATTTTGCCAGCATTTATTATGTTTTCAGTTATCAATCAAGAGGGCTACTAAGATAACACATGAATGCAAATATCAAAAAGCAATATCGGATCAATCAAAGATTTGATCCTGGCAAAAATTAACCATGAAATTTTAGAACTACACCGAAAAAACAAGAAGGAGAGCAGCCACCCTTCGAAAAGTGGAAGGGGGGCTGAGCTCCCCCGAGCCCCCTTCTTCTACAGCCCTGGTCAATATCTCTATGTGAAATGCATATAAAACGATTATCTATGACCGACTAAATATGTGCTCGTTCGCCTTTGGAAAAAATCATTTTATTGTCAAGAAAAATCCCCTTATAATCCAATTGCCCTGAAAAGTTTCGCATGCTGTCTTGAAAGGGGAATGCATTCTATGGTATAAGCAACTCACAATGCGATGGACGGCAGTGGTCTGGGGATGGCGGGGAATTCTACGTAAATAATTAAATATTTTATTGTCAACTCCATAAACCAATAAAGCCCTGAAACCCAACCAAAAGGACCTTGTACTAATTCATTAAGCTATTTCGAAGTTGTTGTCCTCTAAAATTCGATGATTTCCACCCACAACTTTCCTGCCATTAAAAAATACTAAGAGGACGATGAATGTAATTTCAACCCGGGTGCAGATAAATCGAGATGTAACTTCCCCAGATTTCGGATGGCAGTCACCCAACTCCTACCCCACCAAGAGATAAACTAAGTTATATTTTTTGACAGAAAAGAAGCTTGTTTTTATTATTAAATAAATGAGTGGTTTCTTCAAATTTCTATCCTCTGTCTAGTTTCAGCAGGGGTTTTTATGACTTGTAACAATCAAATAAGACGAGGTACGTTTGAAGAGGTTACCTTGTGCTAATAACGATCTAACCAGCCAGTAAATAACGGAATATAAGTTTCGAAAAACGATCCTTAAAAAGATTCCAGCAGCTACTTAATGAATCATTCGACGAATATGACATATATCATATAAAATCACATATCACCTCCAGCTATTCATTCTAAAGACACGATACCTCTCTAAACAAAAATTGTGGCGACAATGTCCGCTGCATTGTTTATTCAAAAAGATTAATATTTGGCGAAAATTTCATGTGAACATAATATCACAAAATTGTATGTATGGATATCATGGAGAGAAAATATTTCGCATGATATCTGTGCTGTTATTTTCATTTATAGAATCCATACATACAATTTTGTGATATGATGTTCAAATGAAATTTTCGCTAAATATTAATTCTTTTGAATACACAATGCAATGATGATTGTCACCTTTTAAGGAATGTTCCCAAAAAACCGATGTGCTGTTCCTTATGCCTTATTTTCGTCTTGCAGAAACTTCACTCGCGATGGCTTGCAGTTGCCTTTGCTCGTTTCCGCGCTTGAGAGGTCTGGGTCACAGGATCATGGTACACAGTGCTTGAATCATCCTTAGCCCTCGGGTCGGATAGAGAAGGGAGAGACCTGGACCTCTTTCTTTCGACCTTGGGGCGTTCTGTACGGTCAAATGTAAACGAAGTCTCTAAGCGATTCGGACTTGTTTTGCAAGGATCAATTTTCTTGTTCGTAAAGAACGGACTTTCATTCCCAAATCTCTGTTTGGTAACAAGGGAAGGTACCAAATGGTAGAAGTTCTTAGGGGGCGGCGACAGCCTTCCGTAGTGTGGAATATAACTCTCTGAAATAGAACGCCTAGTTAATCGAAAATCAGTCTCAACGTTTAATCCATCATCAGACATTCCATCTTCAAGGTCAATATCCACTACGGTACGGTTGAATTGGAAAGAGTTTGGAACCGATACAACGGAATCGGATAGTTTCGGCCAGTTCATTGACACGTTTTCTTCCCAGCTATCACCAGAGAGACGGTGCCATTGCACTCCATTTGATGATAAATCTTCATAAGGAACAAGGCCACTGCTTTTACTTGAAACGTCGCATTGGTCATCCCAAGAAAGGGGCGATGCAATTGGAGATCTTTGCAACTCGTTAGCTTCGTTTTCGTCTTTTACGGGGCCGTCGGCCTGATTATGAACGTTTTCTTTACCACTCCCACAGTTACTCTGGCTCTGCAAGGAGAATACATATGATCCTTTCGTGACTTAATTTTCAGGGAAAACATAACAGATAGAAAACAACCACTGGTAAAAAGGCCTCTGTTACCCTACCGGTGTAGTAATTACTCGGTATAGTGACCAGGGGCCAGGGCTCTGACTTTTTATTCTTGGATCAAAAATAAGGATTTTAGGAACTTTTTGTGCAACTAACTTTGGGTGATTTACCAATAAAACTAAAAAACAGAGTATATTTTTGAAAATCAAAACAATAAGCCAAACACCTGTTAAATAGATTAGGAAAGAAGCAGTTGTTATAGAACAATGGTTGCCATGCCCGATACCCACCACTGATAAAAGCATTAACCAATAAATTTGGCACAACTTTGTAATGATAATCTCTTATTCCTGTACCACAGGTAATTCTTATTATTCTGTTATAAATGTAATCTTAAAAAAAAGGATTTGAATGTATAGTATTCAACTTCTCGGGGTTTTAGGCTGGGCATTTTAGAAATTAATTTTTCAAATTGGTAAATCGGTGCTAGCATGAGTGACGTAACAGAAATTACTCATTACCTTTCGTGGGCATCAACTTTTTACTTGAGCATTTTCAAAGAAGTCATCTAATTTTTTGCTACATAGACCGGACATTTGTTAGCAGGTGTTTCCTTTTCAGACTGAAAGTAACTTCTTTTAGGATTATTTTCTTATACTGATACCAATTTATAGTTGATAAAAAAACTTAAGCTCTACCTGATAAGGTAATATAGTTAAGCAACTTGCATTTCCATGGATGCAAACCATTCAGATAAAATCACATTTGATAAATTTTGGGATTCCCAAAAATGGTTAGGTAGCGTACTATGTGAACTTTCTTGTAATAAGACAAACGTTTGCTACTCCTTTCCAAGAGCTTAGCTGAGAGCAATAATATTTCTGGTCTGGTTTAAAAACTTGCGTAAAAAACAAGGTAAAACAATTTGGCTTCACCCACATCTAAGTATTATACCAAGTAAGGTTACAGTTGTCCTGCTAAGACCAAAGGAACAAATACTTCGAAACAAATTTGGGGGCTGTGAATAGAAAACAGTGAAGATAACAGGACAGCAGGGAAATTTTCAAAGACTTTAAGACGAACATAACATTAAACATAACGGCCACACTGATTGCTAAGTCCTGTTTACCTTTAAACACGGTCGAATGTCTTTCGATAGAATCACTTCTGTACCAGTAAACATGTGTCTCTTGAGCTCTTCGAAAAGGTCCACCTCCACTTCTCCAGATACGGTTCGACGAAATGCATCATCGAAAGTATTAACTTTGAAAACCAATTTATAGGAAAAGAGTTGATCTTGCGATATAATAAAGTAGTAGACTTGCTGCAAAGCTATATCAAGTTTTGGAGGATTGATTCCTTCCTTGTCGTCGTCTGAGCCGATATGCCTCAACTGGACGTCAACATAAGCACTATCAGCACTGTAGATATCGTCAGCGTTCTGAAAACCTTCCAGCTGAACCAGTCGCACCATAAGTTCTTCCCTGTAAATATTTTGGCATTAAGATGTTTATTTGTCTAGCCAAATATTTAAAAAGTAAGATAACGGAATGCAGGGTTACCTCAAATGTTAATAGACAGTAGAGGAACGTTCACATGCATTCATATCAAAATGGCAAAAATTTGGTAGAATAAGTTCTCAGCCATATATGGATCGCAGAAAACCCAAAAAAAGTCTTGCTATTAAATACACACAGAGTGAAAGATCCTTTAAAAATAATTCAGTTTTCAGTAATAGCCTTTTGTTGCATATATTTTCATGGATTTTAAACAAATAGAATTAGGAAAAAACAAACGGCTAAAATTCTATTAACATACCTCTCTACTAAATACCTCAGGATGAAAAATATCTTCCCACAAGAACCCCACTCATCCAAGCTACTTTTTTGGCTGTCAGTGCTTTCTGTGATAAGGTCCTCCTGGATAAAATAAAAATAAAATTCATACCGAAAATTGTTTATGCTTAACACAACAGAAACTTTGGATTGCGTTGGTTGAGATTTAGAAATACCTGGCAGAAATAACTAGAAATAGGAAAATATGCAGTAGGCATACAGTACGATACTTCCTTTAAATTATCAATGTGTTATGCCATGGGAAGTGGGGATACAGGGTGCAGATGACCCTCATTCAATTTTACCTAATAATTGAGCACACCACAAAACAGTAAAATTGCATTGCCACTGTCTAGGAAAATAAATGAAAATTGAATTTTTTGCCTAAGCAGAAAACCTATAGAAAATTCTGGCAAGGGCCGATAAGTCCAGTGTATCTTCCCTACTCATGATAAGCCAAAGCTTTGAAAACATTCCTTGAAGCAATGAAAGCAAGGCATGGTTTTTTGGGCAATAGTTGACATGGTTTGTTTACAACAGCCTAGTATATATATAAAGGGCAGAAAAAACGTAACTTCTTAGCATGTTTTAATCAAATAACTTAATCCAAACAGAGTTTATTCAATGCCAAATATTTTTGGGAGCATAATCGGTCATCAAAAACTTATGATCTTATCAAATTAAAAACGGTCTTGAAACTGTCTACACAGGATCGAGTACTATTCAAAAAGAAAGATCGAGTACTAGTTAATAGAAATCGTCATCTATCTGACACGTAATATATTTAATGATGAAACCTATGTTTCAAAACGCAGTAAAATGTGTTGCGTAATGCTGTCTCGTGCAATTATGAGATAACCTACAAAGAACCTTTAATTGAGGTTCTGTTGGGTAAGCAAAAGTAAGCAAAGCAAAGAACAAGATTTGAATCTGTGAAATATCTAAAAAAGAGGTCAAAAATTTATTCACTGTCGTTTTTTCTTTTGCTACTGACACGCTCACATATTTATAAAAACTCGTATAACAAGCTTTTGCCTTTTACATATTCTTTATACCAGCAATTAAATATTCGATTGATTCGTCAGTTTTAGTTAAACTTGTTAAAAAAACAGAATGCTCTGTCGTCAAATGATAAATATGCAAAAGTTTTTGCTACCTAATTCTAAAACTTAAGAAAAGATGAAGGGCAGAAAGGAGATCAGAATATTTAGTGGAATCGTGCACAAAAGCTTCTTGGTATACAAAGAATACTCTTTTGGCTGGCAAATAAATAATATATTTCGATAGACCTACCGAAGTGTCGCTGGTGTCAGGAATTTGTGGCTGCACAATTTTAGCAGAAAACTGTCCAGGAACAAGGATTTTGCGATCTGTTGCCAACCACCCAGTTCTTAATTCGCTCGGAGAACCTGTCCATCTTGTTTTCCTCTTCTCGTTTGAACGGTATCTCCAATATACGAGAAACATACAAACAAACATGGAAACTGAAATCAAGGCAAGTAACGCAAGGATGCTCGCTGACAGAGCCACTGTTTGGTCTCCATTCACCATAATGGTATCAAATGTAAACCTGAAACAAAATGCATGCTGTGTTGACATACTTGAATGATTACTTTAGAAAATAAACTTGGATGATGAAACTAGATTCTTGATGAAGCAGCTTGAGATATCACATAAATATCCAAATTTTAGCACACATTTTTTAACCATTACAAAGTTGTTTAAAACTCAAAATTATGTACATAAATTTGACATTATTGGAAAATGCAAAATTTGACGACTTACACTAAATCAATTTTATGAATAAAAATTTAAAACTATATCACACATTTTTAGTTTTTTTAGCAACTTATAAGATGTGTTTAACTTTTGGTAAACCCAATCTATGAATCTTTAATATTTAACACATTGAAAAATACTATACAAGTTTGATCTTCTAGTAAACAGATTTCATACAATAGCCAAAATGCAAACACAAATTATTTTAATAAGGTTCATTATGACATTGTGGGTGAACAAAATGAACAGCAAAAGTATGTTAGAGACTACAAGGAGGGACCAAACATCTTACATGAGTTACTATCTGAAAAGCAGCTTTATTAGCTATCTAGTTAAAATATTGATCACAAAACATTCAAAACTGGGCTTCTCAACAAAATAACCAAATGTTTAAAAAGGTTATCACTGAAAGTCTTTGGCAGACTCTGGGTTATCTCTATTGTGACTACCAATTAGTTCTACAGTTTCTTCAACATGATACTGAATTATTTTCCTAGCTCAAAATCTCTTTCTCTAAAATTTTACATTACCAGTACTATAAACATATAAAACTTTTGCGAATGAATGAAAAAAAAAATATTAACTGCAAAAACATTATCAGCTGTCATTTGCTTTTAAGAAAGTCAAGGTGTTGGCCAGCCTCTTGATAAAAAAGTTTTGTCATGAAAGTTTACCTGTTTCACTCTCTCTGTTCCATCATCAACTAATTTGTAATGAGTGTCATACAAAATTACAAACACCCTTCATCAGTAATAACATAACCACAATTTTCTGCTTTGACGCCTTGTCGCGTTTTGTGCTTGATGACAATACTTTTATTTGCAACTGCCAATAAGGCCCAGCGAAGAAAGCAAAACAACTGCAAAGTCACATTGCAGGGAAGAACAGCCAATGAAAAATGAAGCTTGGAGCAGCGTTACCAAGAATGAAAACATTGACCGTAAACAACTTCAACCAACTTCCATTGGAAGCTGGTTAACTCCCTTTGGACAAATATCATGCCACACCTATCACCTTCTTAAAGGATAATGTAATGGAACGCATTTGCATTCATAGGCATTTGCATTCACAGGTGAACTCCAAACAAAAACATATCATCCAATACCTTTCCAAAAACAATGCATGCATAATTTCTTCACGCTCATTGTGAATCTCTAAACTCCCCGAAATTGCATTTATAAAAATTAGCATTAATTACATCCCTTTTAAAGAAATGTCACTGACCACCAAACAATTTCTTTTCTCATTTACGGAAACCAAACAATAGGCTATTGGACTCATGCTACGTCTCTCTGTAATGTGAACAACGAACCGTCCCATGACTAATGGGAACCTTAAAAGAAGGCTTCAGAGTTTTAACAAATAACCAATTTCATTGAGGTTACTTGCATAAAATCATGCTCAAGAGAAAAAGTGACCAAAAACAAAGTTTCAATACAAAAGCAATGGCTGCACCCAATTTTTGTGAAATAAGTTTGCAGGGAACATCAATCATACTTGTAAATATGTTTATCTCAAGGATTATCAAAACAATTTTCACAAAAAAAACTTTCTAAAGTTACAGAAACTGGGAATACATGTGAAAAAATAAGTTGATAAGTGCAAGAGACTCACGGTACTTTTGTCGCACTTTACTCAATTGTCATACTTTTACAATAACACCATCCACAAAACATTCCAACTCCAAGTTTTTACATGTCTACAGAATGATTAATCCAAGTAAAAGCCTCCAACTAGAGCTTTAAACTTGCTTCAACCATGAATTTCATCCAACAAGTAAATCTTATCTTATCAGTAATTACTGCAAATTTTTGCCAATTAAAGGACTTCCTGGTGCAAAAAGACATCTATTGGGTCATATTTTCTAATGATAATAACTGGTGGTTTAATTTTGGTTATCTATTTTTAACTTGTGTCTAAAAACGTAATAATTAGAGAACCAATTATATTTTGCCATGTGACTTGGAACTTCAGACAATGGTTAGACATTACCACTGTGCCCGTTAAAGTACAATTTCTGTTGATTCATTAAGGTTAATTAACGAAGAATTAAGATTCTAAAAATATTGTAAACCGTCCAGACTTCATAATTGGAACTCATCACTACCAAAATGCTATTTTTATCGTATATTATTTGTTATAGAAAAACGGCTTTGTTGCCATTTGCCAGTCAGTATACACTGTAGGCATGCTGTAGGTCAATATTCTCACTCGGGTGCTGGTGGCACAAATACTGAAGATGAGCGGTGCCGAAGGTTTTTAGATAAGCTTGTTATGAATGATATTGATATTGTTGCAAAACTTTGCGAACGATAGACCAGTAGCTAGGCTTTTGTTCACTGTGTTCTTAAAAATTGTTCATTAGCTAAACTATCACAAACAAAGTTTTGGGGAAACAGTTTCGTCTTGAAATTTCCACTTCGATGTCCCTTTTTCAAGTGGCCTAAGTTTAGTTTAAACCATTTTTAACCCCAAAGTTTCAACTCGTTGTCCTAACCTTACCTTTATCATTTCTTTGGTGTGCAGGCTAATGGATGAACAAAACAGCCTAATAACCATCCATCAATATCCTTTCTTTATATCGCCTGATCAGTTACTTTTAAAAACTTTTCGCCAGTTTTTCTCAGCTTTCTTTTATGACTTAACGCGGTAGTTGGTCATGAAATGGCATCTGAAAAATTCATTGTTAGGATAGGCAGGATCCTACTCCACCGCAGGGCAGTGAAAGAGATACGAAAGTGTTTGTTAGTTTGTAAGTACTATGGTCACCAAAGATTATCCGCTTTCAACAACAAAAAAGGTTGAATTTTGTCAAAAAGGTCCTGGACTTGAAACTTTATTTGAAAACTCTTAAGCCATGTTATATTGACCTCCAAATTCATTTGAAAATTATCGTATTGCTGAATAATATAGCCTACACTTTTTTTTATAAGAACCAGTAAATTTGAGTTCAGGCTGATTGTTCTTAGTTTTTCCGAAAATCTGAGGCTGGATTGTTCTTAATTTGTTCTTAAATGTATGGGGTACAAGCAGTGCGATTTCTAGCTTTTCGTTCTAGGGAGGTGTTCAGGCCTCTTTTGCCAACAAAGTGCGTAGAGACAAACTTAATTTGCCGCCATGTTTTAATATTCACCGAAAAAGCACCCACACATGGCTGAAAATCCTCGTTTTTGAGATAAAACGTTGTTCAAATTTCATTTTACAGTAGCTCAGCCTCAGCTTGTTCTTAATTTGTTCTTAAATTTTGACCCATTTTGAGGCTCGTGTTCTTATGAAATTGTTTTATAAAAAAAGAGTGTAGTTTATGTTTATGACAAGTTTATGAGAATTCATTAGTTTTAACTGGTTTATTAGAAAGGGTGCCCATGGAAATCGCCTGTGGTAGGGGTATGAATTTGGTCCATTCAAATTCTAAAAGAACATCATGTCAGGTCAAGGAACGGAATGTGCTTTCCTATACAGGACAAGTAAGTAAGGGTATTGGCCTACTGCATTTCTAAAATATTTCCTCGTTTCTCGCCGAGCTTGTTGCCTGGCTGGCTGTTAATTCTGATAAAACTTTCATCTCTTCCCCTCAGTGGCGGAAATCGCGAGGGTGTGGGGGGCAACCGCCCCCAGGTTTTGCCAAATTGTCGGATTTGTCGGCAAAATTATGTCTTTCGTCGGCAAATTGCTTGCTTTTGTGGAAATTAGACCCCACTTTATTCGACTTATTGAGGTTTCGATGACTTTACCCTGGGTACCAGAGCCTCAGAGAGTCAAAGGATGAACAACGGGGACCATTCTCCTTCGCAATTCCTTTCCCCGTTCTTCATCCTTTGACTCTCTGAGGCTCTGGCACCCAGGGTACGATGACTTGAGATCCATCAAAAATCATCTTTGTAATTTCAACCAAACTGCAACATTCGCCAAAATTCAACAAATCGAGGGATCAAGTCTACTCTTCATTACATTTCGGCTTGAAGTAGTTCGTCAAGTACAACTAACGCATTCATTTTTAGGGTTGTCGTCTTAAAAAGTAAGGAACGGGGCATTGCTCTAAGGAATATCTAAAACCCACATGAAAGACTACACCTATGGTCACACCCTGAAAACTTGCGTCTTTGTTACTTATATGTGTATATAAGATCACTCAAACTATTCACCGACTCTAAAAGGCTAACAGATATTGCTTAAGAAACAGCATAACAAAGGGTTATTCACATTGCCAAGCAAAGTGTTAGTTTTTCAAAGACATCTTGTGACCGCAATCTTCGGGAAAAATTTTCTGGGGAAATCATCCAGAATCTTTGGCTGGATGGAATATCTCGAAAAGGCAATAAAAATTACGCTGTTTAAATCAAGCATAAGGCACAAAGACAAATGAAGCGATTTGACGAATTGTTCATTCCAAAAGCTACAGTTATGTATAGAAAAGATGAATCTGTGGTGTTGTGATTGAGTTGCAAGCAGGAAATTTTTAAAATATACATCATATGAAAGATTTTTTCTTTCTGTATAGCCTGTTAGGCCCATCTTTGTTTTAAGTCAGAGTGGCTGGAAATTGGAACATGTTTGGCAAAATGAAGTGCAAACAGCAGGTACAAAGTTAAAGCCGGTTTTCTTGTCAAGAAGCAACTCGGAAAAAGGCATGTTTGTCACATGGCAAAACAATTGAATAAAAGTTGCCCATTTAGTGGGATGTATAAAACGACACGTAACAGCGGTTGCTTTCGTATGGATGATAGGAGGACTGTGAATTGAACTAGTGCAGAAAAGTGCAGAAGAAAAATCTATTTAAATCACAGAGGAGGGGATAATATCTAACAGAAATTATTTTCCTTGCTGTTGAGAGGGAGAGGGCAACTGCTAGAATATGGAGTCGGGGTAGAAATTATTTTACAAAGTAACAATCACTAGTTTGTTTTCTAGTTGGGGGTCTAAATAGTATTTCATAACAAAGGAAACAAACTGGGAAGCATTGAGCATCATTTATGAAATGTGGAAAATGACAACAATTTTGTTCACCCATGGGTTTAGAGCTACAAAAAGAACAGGACTAGAGGTGCACGCAAAAGCACCTCAAACACACATACCAATAAGAAAAAAGTTGATACTTTTTGTTACGGAAGCTGGTCCTCTTCAGTTTCCCTAGCATAAAAAATGTGCTAAAAATAGTTTTGTTGTAATGAGATTATTTTCCTTTGGGCATTTATATTCCTTCCAAACTACCTAACTTTGCGTGAAGTGTATGAAATTGTTTAACTGCTAATTCATAGTTGAAAATTTCCTGTGAGAAAAAAGTTTTATCTATGATTTCCTATGACCAATGGTCACACGGTCGCAAGGAAAATAATACCTTGTTGCCAAGTAAGGAATTTGTCCAACCTAGACAGTCACTCGAGAGAGCTAAGCATTCACTAGTGATCCTGTATTACTGACTATTTTTAAAATATAATTACTAATTAAAACTGTTCGTTTGAACTTTTTACTTTTTTGATAGAATTCTTTGAAAAAGCTCGAAAAAGCGAAACGATATATAGAGTGAGTCTGGTACTCAGGGTGAAACATAACATACTAAAGCACTTTTCGTCTTACACTCCTCAGAGCATAAACTTCAGACAGTGATCAAATAGTATGCTGAAATTTAAGTTTCCAAATTTTTCCAAACAGTGGCAAAATTCAAGCAGATACTTGGGAATAAGAAATTCAGGCATTGGAAAAGCTATTTTCATTTCTTAATATACAACTTAAGGGCACATGTGAATAACTTAAATATAGACAATTATATTATATTATTTTACATTACTATCTTATGTTTTTCACTCAAATCCCTATTAATAACACTTTTGGGCAATCCATGGAAGACGGAAAAATTCAAGCAAAAAAATTTAACCCCCCCCCCTCCCACCATATTTGGAGTGTTAGTACGCCCCTGCTTTCATGTGTTGACTTACATGTGCTTTTTAAGCCACCTGGATGACTTGCATGTGTTTTTTGCCCTTCTTGTTGGTCGCTTGTCTCCTTTTCGCTTTCTCACCATTAAGAAAATGGCATGTGTCACAGATTAGATGTGATTGAGCAAAACAACAATGAGATAAAAAAGCAACTTTTACTCAAAATGGTCAGTCTTCTAGCTTCATATCTACTTCTGGTTAAAATAAAAATTATTTTGGCTTTTTCTTTGGAGCATGCTAATGTTTCTTCAGGGGGGAGGGTGTTCTTGTAAACAAGATACGGACCAAAGCATACTTTTCCCACCGAGTATACTTAGATGCCACCACGAAGGACTACATTTTTAACAAACGAAAAGTTCAAGTTTGAAGGTAGGAGTCTGGGAACAAGGACAAGAAATTCATGCTGTTTTAAGTTCAATTTCCCAAATCTGCGACCATCAAAATACTACGTAGACTCCGCAAAGCATGCATTTTGCAAACATGAATGATAAAAACTCAGCTGTGTCACACGCAAGTGACGTTTTTCCCACTTGGCCGAGCGAAATTTCAAAAGACGTTTTCAAGTAATGAGCTCTAAAGGTGGGAATTTCTGAAGTTATGTCAGAGGTGTGCCGTTTCTTTTAAAACATAGTGTCAGAAGATTGATGAAAATGTCAGTTGCAACATTTTCAAATGAAGCTATTCCAGCTAGAACGGTAAAATTTGTTTTTGATTATAAAGTCACTCTAGAAAGAAAATTCAACAAAAGTAAGTTGAGTATTTCACGTCACTGGACCTTTACTGGGGAACAACCAACTCAAATTTTTGTCACATCTCAAGGATAGGTTGTGACAATATGCATAAATGACATTTCAATAAAATCACAAGTAAAAAATTACTTATATTATCAGAGGCAGGCAAATTTTACAAATTTTCAATTTTGATTGCATGCTGTTACCTTCAATCTAAAACTAAATGCCATTAGACCGTATTTAAACCTATCCTGTAGACGTGTAACAATATTCCAGTTAAAAATAAAACGTTTTCCTTGCCAATGACTTTAACTTTTTTTTCTTTGACAGCTTTGTCATGCATCTCAGTGTCATGCATAGCAGTTTATCTGTTTATTTTTACTTTGTCCCTTCACTTGTACCGGAGCATACTGTAAAATTTGCTCGCCTTAACAAGAGAAATGATTAGAAATAATGCGAAAAATGCAGTGACAGTAGCTTGAAATTCAAATTAACAACATTTACAAATTTCACGAGTATCTAGGTAGTATTTTTAATGCCACAATGGAGTGAAGGGCGGGTCAAGGGAGGCCAGTGATGTAACAGGTCATTCTCTTATGTATCAGCCTTACACTTGGTGAAGCACCACTTTCTAGCCCCATAAACTTTTTGTCTATTTTTAGAATTAGAATTAGAGTGGAACATAGCACATTTTACGGACAATAAATACGTCTCTTCCATATTCCTTCTTCTATAGCAGTGACACTGCTCTTTCAATTAATCAGCAACATAAAATTCATTTCAGGTATAGAAGCATGAAAACACATAGTGTCTTCGCTAAAGCTTTTCAATGAGCAACTTAACACAGCTGGAAAGTTATCTTGCATAATCATGTAGGCAGAATAACTGTTCTTGATATGCGAACGAACTTATAATTACTGGTGAAACAGGCTCTATCAGCAAGATCGAAGAAAACAAGATCTAAAATTATATAAATTGGAAGGTTTTGCAATTTTTCAGGCATCTTAGCAATAGGCTGTAGCCAA